AACTATAGATCGTTCACCCTTGTGTCATAGAGGCATGAACTTCCGCGCTGTTATGTCATCCATATAGAGTCAGTTATCTGGCACCTTGGCTTGGACAGTGGTGCCAAGCAGTGTGCTGTGGTCTGCATACTTGTATATCCCCATATGTCCTTCCTTGTGTGTCTGGTCTTATACATTCAGGCCACATGTAACATACAACATAACTCGTACTTGTCCCATTTGCAGTCTCCTTTCCTGAGGCTTGCCTATCTCATGCGATAGCTCCACTGTCTTACAAGGCTAGAGCCTCCTGGCATATGACATGTAGAGAAATAAAGACTGTATCTTTCTTTGCTGTAATTCACCTTTCATAGGCATCCTTGATTTTTGCTTTCAACATGTCATTATTGCCTGATTGTTTTTCAGATAAGAACTTTGAATGTGATTGTGTATAGATTTCTAGAGTTTCGTGAAGTTAAATATTTAACACATCCTGCATAGCCCTTAACCTTTATTCGTAATTGCTTATCTTTAATGCTCTGCTGGATTAATACCATTGTGAAATTCACTATTAATACTGGGGCCTATTGCTTGACTCTTCTTCAGGTTCTTAGAAGAGTTAGGACGACATAACTATGTTACCGCTACTTCTTATCTTGAACTTATTGGCTCATTTCGGCAGCTTTTAACTAAAAAACGGCAAGCTGTCATGGAAGCAAAACAGCGCTATGTGAATGGACTTGACCAGTTAGCTTTTGCTGAGTCTCAGGTAAATCTGATTAACTGTTCAAAATAATAAAATATTCTAAGCCAGGTGGTGGTGGCACATGCCTTTAATCCTAGCACTCAGGAGGTAGAGGCAGGAGGAGCTCTGTGAATTTAAGGCCAACCTGGTCTACAGAGTGAGTTCCAGGACAGCCAGAACTACACAAAGAGGCTCTATCTCCAAAATCCCAAAACCAAAAAAAGAAAGAGAAAAAGAAAGAAAAAGAAAAGCAGGAAGAAAGAAAGGAAGGAAGGAAGGAAGGAAGGAAGGAAGGAAGGAAGAAGGAAAGAAGGAAGGAAGGAAAGAAAGAAAGAAAAAGAAAGAAAGAAAGAAAGAAAGAAAGAAAGAATGAAAGAAAGGAAAAATACTGATAAATGTAAAAAATCTAAGAGCAGCTGTTTACTGACAGTATGTTATGTACAAGGTTCTGTGTTATGTAGATCGCATACATTGTTTCAGTTATTCTTTTAGCAACTACAAGAGGTAGTCACCTTAATGTCCTTATTTTACAGGTAAGTAAGTGTTCCAATGAAATGATACTATTGGAATGTACTTCCATGGGGACTGTTCAATAGTCCAGCTTGAGGTCAATATTTTTTTTTAAATATTTATTTATTTATTTATTTATTTATTTATTTATTGTATTGATGAGTACACTGTAGCTGTCTTCAGACACACCAGAAGAGGGCATCCAATCTCATTACGGATGGTTGTGAGCCACCATGTGGTTGCTGGGATTTGAACTCAGGACCTCTGGAAGAGCAGTCAGTGCTCTTAACCGCTGAGCCATCTCTCCAGCCCATGAGGTCAATATTTTATGCTACAAGCATTAGAAATAATTCCAAGCAAGTCCCTCAGTCCTTCATTTATCATTATATGAATGATATTTTGTTGGCTAATTCTGACAAAGATGTTTTAGAGAATATGTTTAAGGTAACATAAAAAGTTTTGCCATGCTGTGGGTTACAGATTGTTACAGAAAAAAATACAAAGAGGAGATTCACTTAGTTATTTGGGTTATAAAATAAGCCAACAATTTTTTTTTTTTTACAGAAACTCTTTAAGTTGGCCCAAACCAAAGAGACTCAAATAATTTGTCATTTAAGAGTATAAGAAATACATTTTGGCAGATGTTGAATATGAAATGGGCTTTTTCTAATGAGTTGAATGCTATTAATAGTTACTAGTGGTGGTTGTTGTTGTCGTCAATGTTGTTGTCGCTGTTGCTGTTGTTGTACACCATAGAATAATGGGATTACCTGAGCTGACACCTTCTTTTCTGGGTGCGTTTCCTCCATGGTCACTACCTTTTCCCAGTGCTTTGTGAAATACCTAAAGATTCAAAGTGAGAAGAACTGGATATGCTCTCATGATACTGTTAACCATGCAAAGAACTGGGAAAATTAAGATTTTTCTTGTCCAGAATTTTATGATGCATTTAAGTTTCTGGTTTCTATGCCAGCTATTACAGAAGGTAAAACCCTAACGGCAAACTGTCTGCTTAGGTTGGTGAGATGAAGCTGGAGCTTGTTGAGTTACAGCCCAAACTGGAGGCAGCTAAAGTTGAGAATGCACGTATGATGCAGGTAGGCTATCAATATTTTTATTGACTCAAAGGACAATCAAATACTGTAAAACTAGTCTTTCAAGTAACATTTAACTTCTTGTCACTGGAACCTAAGGAGTTTATACCTTTCTATTGACTGGGAGTCTCCCTGCTTCTTCATGTTTGTTACTCTTGCAGGGTGGTATGACACCCATTTCCAAATAAGGTCACATGTATTTATATTTCCTCTTATTTTATTCTAGAACTAGCTTTTTGTCTTCAAATATTTTATTAGTTCTTTCAGAATTTCATACATTGTATGTTAGTCACCTTTAATCTTCTCCCAGGTCCACTCCCCATTCTATACCCACCCAACTTTGGACTTTTATTTTTTTTAACCCATTGAGTCCCATAAGTGCTACATATATACTCCTAAATACTAGAGGATGTTAGATCTGCCAGGGGCCATGTCATTAAAGAAAGCAATTCTCTGTCTCCCAACAGCTATCATTTTCCAAAAGCTCTTCAGCTAGGGATGGCGTTGTGTACGCTTGCCCGGGGCTGGTGCGTGCTGTCCTAGTTGCTGAGTTCATATACGCAACTCTCCTGATGTGTCCAGAAAACATGTTTCCTTATAGTCACCTGCTGCCTCTGACTGTTAAAGTCTCTCTAGTACCTCCTCTGTTATCATCCCAAACCCTGTGAGGAGAAGGATGTGATCTAGTTTTCTGGATGAATTTGAGAGCTACATTAATTTTTTATTATAATGAGAAATTGTTAGGACTCAGTGGAGTAATAGTAACGGTTCTCGCCTACAACCCATGTGTTCTCTGCCCCAGTAACAGTGCCAACCAAGTATGGGTTGCGTCTTGTGATTCAGACCTTAAATCTTATCAGAAAGTATTTTATTACTCCCATTCCATTTGTTCCATGCTTATACCAGTGAGGATTTCCTGCCAGGCAAGTCATTGCAGCCGGCAGGGTTCACAGCTGAGTAAGATTGATGATTACTCTTCTCCTCTGGTAACCTTTAACTTCTAGCATAGCACCAGCACTGTGACAGCTAGCCAGTAAGGATGAAGCTTCCAAGTTAAACATCAGCTTGATTTCTTCACGCTCTATGCCTCCTCCAGTGTGTGACGTCTTCAGCAACAGGGTCTTACCATTTAGTTCTGGAGGTTCACCCAGAGTAACGGTAATGGCCTGTTAGATTTAGGTGTCTATGGAAACTTACTGGCCAACAAGACCTATAGAGGTAACACATCTCTGATACTGGGCTTTTTGTAGTGTCTATAGGGCGCGTTGTTAAGGATAATTTCATTGAAACACTCTATGAATGTAGATGTCTCAGGAGGCTTCCGAAGCAGAAGCTTTTCTCTCTCAGAAAGTCTGTAGTGTTAGTTGTTCTTCCCTGAATCTCTTCCTCTAGCCCCATAGAACCCTTCCTGCCAAATCAGTCCCCTTTCCTGTTTATATCACTGCATTCAGTCTTCCCTCCTTTGAAATTCGTTCCCTCTCTGCCTCCTTATTAATTTCCTGACACCTGTGGGTATTCTAAATGAGACAAACACATGTAAAGAGTCAAAACCAATATCTAGAACTGAGAAGGAAGAGATGACGTTTGTTTTTCTGGGTCTGAATTGCCACTCGGAATGACTGTTTCCAGCTCTATCCATTTGCCTTCAAATTTCATAACAACTTTCTTAACAGACCCCTTTAATATCCACCATCATGTGTTGAGTTCCCCGATATTCAAGCAGTCTTGTCTCTAGGCTTAAAGAAACAACAGGCTATTTGAAATTCTGTCTTCATTTTTCCATATTTCTTTTCTTTAGGTAATTGAGATAGAATCTGCACAAGTAGAAGCAAAAAGAAAGTTTGTAAAGTTAGATGAAGAAATAGCCAGCGGGAAGGCTGAGGAAGCCCAAACTCTGAAAAACGAGTGTGAGAGCGACCTGGCTGAGGCAATTCCAGCCTTGGAAGCAGCACTGTCTGCACTAGACACACTTAAGGAAAGTATTGCCACCCGGGGTTTCATCAAGAAAAGGGAGCGATGTAAGGTCTTTGGTTAACGGGTCCTGGCTCTCTTATGGTGGGCTCTGTCGTTTACTTGTCAAGTTAAACGAAGCTTACATCTAAAAGATATTCTTTGATACGATGTTATATTTACATATTTGCTTTTCCTATGTCGTAATTTTCAATCAGAATAGTTTAATGGGAACAGAATGAATGGTCTTTGTGAATCCAAAGAGGTTCTGCACATGGGCCAGAGGGAAGGAATGGGAGCATAGGAAAGGGAAAGGGGATAGCAAGTGTTACACGCACACCACAGTGTTCTGTGGATGCTACACACACACCAAAGTATACTGCAGAAAGTACTACTTGAAGCTGCATAAGACATAACTTTTGAATTGTCTAGACACATATGTCCTGGAAGGTGCAGAGGTAGCTACTTCTTATAAATGGAGAGAGCTGTAAACAGTCATTCCAAGTGGCAATCCAGGCCCAGAAAAAAAACAAATGGCATATCTTCTCACTCGTTTGTTGATGTTAGTTTCAAATTTTTAGATGTATTTATCTCATTTAGAATACCCCCGGATGTCAGAAATTAATAAGGGAGATAACACATGTTATCTCCATAAGGACTTAGGAGCCCTCAAACATTTGAGAACTATTAGGCTTGCTCTGTGTTCAGTTCTCTGTTGCTAATTCGCTTTGATAACCATGCAAAACAAAAAATACTCAATTTTTTCATTATTTCCCGAAATAACTTTTTAAAAATGTTTTAAGATAGCATCTTGTTATGTTGCCCAGGCTAGCCACAGTTCATAATCACCCTTTCCATCACTTCCTGAGAGCTTAGACTAGTGAATACCACCACACCTGACCCCAACATTATTCTTTACAATCTCATTATTTAAAAATAAGCTATTCTGTAAGGATGTCTTGTTGTCTTTTAATACAGCCAGCTGATATTACAATTGTAAAATCAATGAAGAATCCTCCAGCTGGTGTTAAACTAGTCATGGCTGCTGTTTGTGTCATGAAAGATATAAAACCAGAAAAGATTTCAGATCCTTCAGGAACTGGAGGCAAGGTAATAACTGATTTAAACCATATTCATGAATACACAGAACTTGTTTGTACCAACTGTTATCAAATTAAATTCTAACGACCTGTAATCCAGGGAAGAAGTACTGTTTCCCAGATTAAATGGACTCAGAATTAACTGCAAAAATAGGGTCTATATATGGTCTAGTAAATACAGCGCCATATCTGCGGTTCCAGTTGTTTCTATTTTCTCTTCTGTCTCTACACATTCCCTGCTGTGATATTGTATGTGCTGAGGCCTGTGCTCTGTAGCTAAGATTTGTAAGAATGCGTGAAATAAAATATACAGATGTGTTTTGAGAATTGTAGTAAAAGAAAACAAACAACAACAACAAAAACAAAAAACCCAGTTTGTGCTGTTAGGTCTGATGATCCCAGTTCTCCAGAAGGGAGGCAAAAGGATCAAGGTCATCAATCAAGCCCAACCTGGGCAGCATGAGAACTAGTCTCAAAAAAAAGGGGAGGTGGGGGTGGGGGAGGGGTGAGGGCACTGTGGTTGACCTAATTCTAACTCATGAGAGGCTGAGGCAGGAAGGCCGATGTGAATTCCAGGCCTGTCTGGGCTCTACAGTGAGTTCCAAGGCAGCCTGAGCACAGGGTGAAATTCTGTGTATAAAACAATAACATAAAAGGAAGGCTTGTGGATAAGAATATCCACATTCAGAAACCTTGGCCCCAATAGCCATGTGACCTCTGGATGAAGTGTCTGAATTTCTGAGGGACTCTATAAAAAAGATAATCAGAGTATCCATTTCACAAGGTTAGAGGATCTTAGCTAATGCATATAAAGCTCTTCTATTGAAAGCCTCATAAACAGCAAATACACAATAAATGTAACCTGTATTGCAAATATAATTCAAGGCATGTATCCCTTAAGAAGGTAGGCATTCTACACTGAATTTACAGACACTTTCTTTCCAGGGTTTTATAATATCTGGGCTTTAATTCCTAAATTAATTTTTAAATTATATTTTTCATTAAGATAATATATAGACAATGTCCAGTTATTTAAATTTACGCATATGCTGGGGGCCAGCCCCGGCTTGGTGGAAGGAGATGAAGTCTTCTTTCTTCTCCTTGTTGGTTCTTCTTGAGGCAGCTGAGGGGGAAGGAAGAGCGTGGCGGGGAGGGGGGTGGTAAGACTTGGGTCTTACAAGATTTTTAGAGTTGCTGTATAATAAAATTTTACTTATCTATGCTAGAAAAGTTTATTTACTGTGCTACTGTAGCTGACCTGCCCTCTGGTATCTTCTGGCCAGAAACTGCAGTTTCTGGCACATATTACCTCAGCCCAAAAACAGCAGAGGATTAGGCAAATAGCGTTTGTACTCTCTCAGCAGGAATTGCTGGGCTCTAATTTATGCCTGCTAGTTTGCGGTCACAGGAAGAAAAAAAACACTTAGAGAAATTATTATATAGTTTATTACTAAGTGTCAAAAATTTCCTATGAAAGCTATCTAAGGAGAAAAGTGGAAAGGTCCTAAGTGGGGAAAAGGAAAAAATTCTAATAAGGGAAAAGTTCTAAGGGAAAGAATTCTAGGCAGGGGAAAAGGAAAGGAAGGGACGAACGGCTCCTAACAAACCTCTCTTTGTCTTTGTCTTCAGTACTTACACATCTTTCAGAATACATGGTCACATGTTACAAAGTTCATCACAAGTTCACACCAAAAATCAAATCATAAATTGAAATAAAAGTTTACAACACAGAATGTTTATATGCATATCCATTAGGAGTAATTATCTGGCTAAACATCCATCACCTGTCTAACTCCCAGGTTCACTGAAGGTTTAAAACTATAAGAAATTAGTGAAGTTTTGTATTATTTTATACAGGCAATATTTTATCTTCTGTCCTAGCACCTATAATAAATCATGAGTTCCCTTTTAGTGAGCTTTTGGTTAATTTTACAACCTCATTGGAATGTGCTCTGAGCAGGAGAGAGTCTGGTTACTATCTAAGGGCAATTAACTGATGACACTTGGGAGACTGGCAGAGTTCTCATTGCAGTTTTGACTATCAGAGAGGGACCTAATAGCAGTCCCGTTATAAAGTTACAGAGCTTAATAATCATTGATATAATTTTAGGAATTCTTATAGGATCATCATTAAGACTTAAGAAGTCATCTATTTGTCTATATAGCATCACTACAAGACAGTTCATCTTTGTGGATCTGCAGAGATCTGCTCCAAAGGGGAGTGCTATTGCTTAGTGATTGTTACATATGTTTAATAATAATAATAATAGGAAAAGCATATTAATAGCAGGAATCTTTCCTAAAATAAGTTCCTTACAGCCTTGCTGAATAAGATCTCACTTGTCGCAGATTATATAATAATCCAAGGCAAGCCATTTCAGAATGATCACCTGCTAATTATTAGCTTGTCCCATTATGGCTCCTGACACACATACACTAAGTAAGTTTAATGAAACAAAACAAAAAAGAACCAATCTTTTTAAAAAAATTGAAGTTTAAAATAAAATTTTAAATTTTAGTTATTCTTCTCTTATATATTATTACTTCCTAACTGCAGTTTCCCCTCTCTCTGCTTCTCCCAGTACACCCCCCCACCTCCCCTCTACCCCAAATCCACTATTCCTCTGTTTCCCTTCAGAAAAGTTCAGGCAAAAGAGTCAGAGACACACCGGCTCCCACTGTTAGGAGTCCCACAAGAACACCAAGCTACATGACCGTAACATACACACACAGGGCCTAGGTCAGACCATACAGGCTCTCTGATTATTGCTTCATTCTCTGTGAGCCCCTTTGAGGCTCTGGTTAGTTGATTCTGTAGGTTTTCTTGTGGTGTCCTTGACCTCTCCGGCTCCTACAATCCTTCTTCCCCCTTTTCCACAGGGTTCCCCAAGCTCCCCCTAATGTTTGGCATTTGGTCTTCTACTGGATAAAGCCTCGTTTGATGATGATTATACTGGACTTTGGTCTACAAGTATAGTAGACTATCACTAGGAATCACTTTTATTTATTTGTCTGCCTATCTAGCTATCTAGCTAGCTAGGTATCAGTTCAGTCATATTTCGTTCTATTCTAGGTTTCTGGGTCCTGGCCCTCCAGGTAGTGTCAGGTGTGGCCTCCTCTTGTGGTATGGGTCTCAAGTTGCACCAGTCATTGGCAGTTCACTCCCACAAATTCTGGGCCACTTTTACCTCACAACATCTTACAAGCAGGGCAAATTACAGGTTAAAGGTTTTTAAAATACTGAAGTAATAAAAATGTATTTTGTTACGTGAAACTGTAATCATAGTGGCTACATTCTCAGGGAGAAGAGTCTTGTCTCTTGTCTTGTCTTTTCTCTCGTCCCCTCCCCTTCTCTTCTCTCTCCTCCCATCTTCTCTTCTCCTCTCTTCTCTCTAGAGAGGGCTTCACACATCTCCCTGACTGGCCTGGAACACCGTAAGTTACCTAGGCTGACTTTGTTTAAGATGTAAACACTTTTTTTCTGACTAGTGTACACTTTTAATTCTACAGCTAATACATTTCCATAAAATTTGTTTATAGATATTTGATTACTGGGGACCTAGCAAAAAACTCCTAGGAGATATGAATTTTCTCCGAGATTTGCGGGAGTATGACAAGGACAACATCCCAGTAAGTGATGTGGGATTTTCTTCTCTAAAAGTGATTTTGTCATGATATGGAAGATCATTTACTAACTGCTATAGAATGAGTGTTCATAATGCAAAAAAAAAAAAGCTTCCAGATGATTAGAGAGTTAAATTACTATTTTGGTATACTGTTGACCTGAAAAAGTTCTCTAAATATCTTTGTGTAATAAATAGTTCCTTTATTAGGAAATATTGTTCATATTTATGTAAAATAGGAAGGCATCAGATTTTCCATTTGAATTGTTATTTATTAATGTTTGTTTGTATTCTGTTTTTAAACTTTCTATCAATCCAGAGTCTTTTTTAACATTTATGGTTTTTATCATGAATGTTTTGTTTCTTCTATAGTTATACATTTTACTTTATTAATTAAATATTCATTTAATTACTTTACATTCTGACTATAGTTTCCCCTTCTTCCTCTCCTCTCAGTCCTTTCCCCCAGGACACTCCCCATCCAGTCCTCCTCAGTTTCTCTTCAGAAAAGAACAGTCCTCCCAAGGATATCAACTAGCCTGGCTATCAAGTTGCAGCAGGACTAGGCACATCTTCTCCTATTGAGGCTAGAGGAGGCAGCCCAGTATGGGGAAAGGGTACCAAAGGCAGGCAACAGGGTTAGAGACAGCCCCTGCTCCTGCTGTTAGGAGTTCCACATGAAGACCAAGCTACACAACTGTAATATATGTACAGAGGGCCCAGGTCAGTCCTGTGCAGGGTCTCTAGGTGGTGTTTCCATCTCTGTGAGCCCCTATGGGCCCAGGTCAGTTGATTTGGTAGGTTTTCCTGTGGTGTATTTGACACCTCTGCCTCCTAGAATGCTTCCTCCCCTATTCATTTGGATTCCCCAAGCTCTGCCTATTCTTTGGCTGTGCATCTCTGCGTCTGTTTCTATCAGCTGCTGGGAGAAGCCTCTCTGATGATGGCTAAACTAGATTCCTGTCTGGAAGTATAGCAGAATATCATTAGCGCCAGTGTCAGGGATGGGCTCCCTCTCATAGCCTGAATCTCAAGCTGGACCATTCCCTCAATATCTGCTCTATCTTTACTCCAACATTTCCTGTAGGCAGGACAAACTGTAAGTTGAAGGTTTTGTGGCTAGGTTGGTATCTCAATCCCTCCATTAAAAGTCTTACCTGGTTATAGAAGACAGCTTGTTCCAGACTCTATATCCCCCATTGCTGGAGTCTTAGCTAGGGTCACACTGGGAGGTTCCATTTCCCTAGGTTTCTCTCTCATCCCAGAGATGCCTCCCAACCCTGAATCTAGTTGTCTCTCCCAGTACTCTCTCCCTCCATTCTCACTGCACCTGATCCTTGCTGTTTCCATCCCCAACATCCCACACTCATCCAGCACATCCCCATCCATCCACAATGTCTATTCTATTTCCTCTCTTCAGTGCGGTTCAAGCATCCCTCCCTTGGGCCCTCCTTGTTACTTAACTTCTTTGGGTCTGTGGACTGTAGCATGGATATCCTTTGCTTTATGGCTAATATCCATTTATACATAAGTGCATACCATATTCATCTTTTTGGGTCTGGGTTATCTCAGGATGATTCCCCCCCCCCCCCCAGTTGTACCCATTTGTCTGCAAATTTCATGATGTCATCATTTTTAACAGTGGAATACTCCATTGTGTAAATATACTACATTTCCTTTGTCCATTTGGGTTGAGGTACATCTAGATTGTTTCCAGTCTCTGGCTAATACGAATAAAGCTGCTAGGAACCTAGTTAACAAGTGTCCTTGTGGTATGGTGGAGCATCCTTTGAATATATGCTCAGGAGTGGAGTTGGGTCTTGAAATCAAGTCCCAGTTTTCTGAGAAACTGCCAAATTGATTTCCAAAGTGGCTGTGCAAGTTTGCACTCACACCAACAATGAAGGAGTGTTCCCCTTACTCCACATCCTCAACAAGATGAGCTGTCACTTGAGTTTTTAATCTTTGCCATTCTGACGGGTGTAAGATGGAATCTCAGAGTTGTTTGATTTTTTTTTCCTGATGGCTAAGGATGTTGAACATTTCTTAAAGTATTTCTTAGCTATTAAAGATTCCCCTGTCAAAAATTTACTGTTTAGATTTATACCCCATTTTAAAGATTGGATTGTTTAGTTTGCTGGTGTCTTTGTGTTGTTAAAATTACTCCAAAATCTTTATTTTGAGTTTTAAAAACAATGTAATTTTTAAAAAAAACATTTAATTTATTTAGTGTGTGTGTGTGTGTATGTGTGTGTGTGTTATATGTAGGTACATGTGCCATGGCATTTAGGTGGAGGACAAAGGACATGTTAGGGTAACTAGGTCTCTTCTTCCATCATGTGAGTGCTAGGAGTTGAACTCAGATAATGAGCTTGGTGACACATATCTTTACCCAATAAGTAATCTCAACTTTTTCAAATTACATACGGCTTTCTTCCACTTTATAAGTATATGATACATGCTATCGTTTTAAAATCTAAATCTTGTAAGGGGATAACATCTGAAATATAAATAAAATATCCAATTAAAAAAATCCCCTAAAAAAAAATCTAAATCTCTGTTATATAGGTGGCTGTTATGCAGAAGATTCGCAGTGAATATTTGACGAACCCCGAATTTGATCCCCCTAAGGTCGCTAAAGCTTCTTCTGCTGCTGAGGGTCTGTGCAAGTGGATCATGGCTATGGAAGTATATGACAGAGTTGCAAAGGTATTTTCAGGGTTTGTGTATCCATTTCTTACTAAAATATTCTCAGAAATTAAAATGTACTCCTTAACTTTCTAAATCTATTTTGTATTAGTTCTTTCAGAATTTCACACCATGAGACTTGACTATATTCACTTCTCAGCTCCTCAGAGATCCACCCCCTTCCCTGCCCACTCATCCAACTTTGTGTCCTCTTATGTTTTTGAATCCCGCCAAGTCCAATTTGATCTGTCCCTATATTCTTAGATGTGTGGTCTTCCACTGGGACATGGTCAGGGAATCAGTGGCAACACTCTTAAAGAGAGCTGACTCACCCTCCTAGCCCCACCCCCACCCCAGCCCCCTGCTCCCTGTAGCTCCTCAGCTGTGGGCATTTCCTTTCCACCTGCCCTGTCCTTTCTGGGATTTGGTGTAGCTTGAGCTTGCTTATGCATGCTGCCACAAGTGCTGTGAGTTCAAAGGTGCAGCTGCCCTGTTGTGTCCAGAGGATACTGTCTGCTTGTATTCACTGTCTCTGGCTCTTAGAACCTTTCTACTCCCTCTTCTGCCTAGATCCCCGAGCCTTGGGAGCAGATACAGTCAGTACATATGTTCTATTTAGGGCTAAGAATTCTGCAGGATCTTATTCTCTGTACCATGGTCATTTGTGAGTCCTACTGTAAATAGGTGCCTCCCAGACGAAGGCTGAGAGAGAGATGCAATACTCTATGAGTATGTTAATAAGTCAATAGGAGTCAGTTTAATACTTTGTTCATTTAGCAGAATATAGTCGTAGGTTCTCCCTAATGCCTATGATCTGTCTAGTCACAGTGGTGTGTGTGTGTGTGTGTGTGTGTGAGCTTCTACAGTAGTAAGGTTTCTGTATGATTTTTTAAAAAGTCTTTAGAGTTAATTATCTCCCTTTGTATGTATTCCTTCCTCTAACCTGCCCTTCCATCTCTCACCTCAATTTAAGCCTTCCCATTTCATTAATCCCCTTTAAACTTTCCATATCCTCTCCTTTGAAAGCCCTACCCTATCCCACCAATGTCTAGACCTCTGTGGGTATTCCAAATGAATCAGACATATCTGAAAATTCAAAGCTAACCTCCACAAATGAGGGAAAACAAGTGACCTTTATCTTTTATCTGTCTGGGTTACCTTCTTCAGAATGATTGTTTCCATGCATTTATTTACCTGTGAATTAAATAACTTCATTTTTCTTAATAGGCAAATGATATTCCATTGTGCAAATATACCACATTTTCCTTATCTCTCCATCAACTGATGGACACCAGGTTGTTTCTATTCCATTGCTGTTGTGAGTAGAGCAGCAATGAGTATGGATGAGCAAGGATCTCTATAGTAGGCTATAAAGTCTTTGCGGATGTGTCTAAGAGTGGTGTAACTGGACCATATGGTTTTTTAAGGAACCTTCATGATGATTTCCTTACCAGATGTATCAGATTTCACTCCCACCAGCAATAAATAAGTGTTCTTTCTTCATATCGACTTGAGAATTTGTCATAATTTGTTTTTTGTTTTTTAATCTTATCCATTCTGACTTGAGTAAGATTAAAAAAAACTCAAAGTAATTTTAATTTACATTTCCCTGGTAGCTAGGGATGTTGAACATTTTTTAAAACTGTTGTTCAGTAACTTGTTTTTTTATCTTTGGAGAACTCTCTGTTTTGTTCCACGCTCCATGTTGTAATTGGGTTGTTTGGTTTCTTGATGTTTAGGGATTTTTAGTTCTTTGTATATTCTAGATACTACCTCCCTATCAGATTTATTGCTAGTCAAGAGTTTTCCCATTCTGTGGGCTACTTCTTTGCTCCAGTGATGGTGTCTTTTGTGGTACAGAAGCTTTTTAATTTTATGAGGTCCCATTTATTAATTCTTGGCCTTAATATCTGTATGATCAGGGTTTGTCCAGAAACCCTTTCACCAGTGAGATCAAGTGTATGCTCTACTTCATTTTATATCAAATTCAGGGAATCAGATCTTGTGTTACAGTCCATGAGCCATTCAGAGTTGGGCAGGATGAATGTCAAGTGACATTCTTCTATATGTGCTATCCGATGTGACCAGCATCATCTGTTGAAAATTCTGTCTTTTCTTTTATGTATGTTGTGGGCCTCTTTGTCAAAAACCAAATGATGAGTGTCCAGGCTGTCACTGCAAAACAAGCTTTCAGAAAGTTCCTTTGCTCTTTGAAAGAGTATTGGTTGAGAGGAGTGTAACCAAAACTACAACCAAGGGTAGCATCATGCTTCCAGAATAATCTCAAGAAAAGCATTTCAGGCAACAGTACTGGGCGATCAGGCATGAAAGGAGAGGGTGGGGAAATTCAGCCAGTTAGTCTCAAAGTTGGAGACAATGCTCTCCCAGAATAAGGAGGTGTCAAAGTAACTCTAGATGACAATTTAGAAATGGTGACATTCTTGGGAAGTGTGCAGACTGAAACCACTGTTGAAATGTCATCCCACAGAAGATCTATTCTGCTGACATCCTCAAGTATTTCACCATATAAACAATTCCGATGCCTCCCTTTTATAATAAACTGGTGACACCTAAAATAATAGCATCCATTGCTTCTGAAAGTTAGTTTTGATGTACCATTATAAACATTTGTGAATGAAATAAACTCAGTAGTTAAAAGCACTGACTGCTCTTCCAGAGATACTGAGTTCAATTCCCAGCAACCACATGGTGGCTCACAACCATCTGTAATGAGATCTGATGCCCTCTTTTGATGTGTCTGAAGACAGCGACAGTGTACTCATAAATAAAATGAATAAATAAATCTTAAATATATATATATCTGAAAAGGAGAAGCAAAAAACCGAAATGGCTCTAGAATGGGTATGTCATGTATTCTATTCCATTGACCAGTGGGTCTGTTTTTAGGGCAGTCTCACGGTGCTTTCACTACCACAGCTCTGTATGTGTAACTTGAGATTTGGAATGGTGATACCACCTCTACAGGGTTTTTTATTGCTCAGAATCATTTGGGCTATTGTGGATAGTTTGTATTTCCTATGAAATGTAAGATGATCCTTTCAATTTATATGAAGAATTGCATTTGATGGGGATTGCAGTAAACCTGTAGATTGCTTTGCTTAGGACAGCCGTTTCACAATATTCATCCTACCAGTCCATGAGCATCTGTACTCCCTGGCCAGTCAGGGCTATAGAGCAAGAACCTTTCTCAAAACAATAAGTGAAATAAAATGGAAGGCAGAAACAGAATCACAAGGCGTTATCCCCACCCCTTTTCAGTTGAATGACAACTTCTCATTATTTTAAAACACTCTGCTATATATTGTGACATTTTTACTCTATGTTAAACTATATTATTCCAGAATAATTTATTTTGTATACCATAGTTTACAAATCTAAATGATTTGTCTGTTTTATGAAGTATATAGGTGTTTTGTGTTATATAAGATTTAAGTGCTTATTATATGTAATTTATTGTTAAACCCCATGTTTGAACCATAACATCTAACTTTTACACAGAACACACATCTTCATACTGTCCCTTAACAGGTTGTGGCTCCAAAGAAAGCTCGTTTAGCAGAGGCCCAGAAGTCCTTAGCAGAGACAATGATGCTTTTGAATCAGAAGAGAGGGGAACTGGCCCAAGTAGAGCATCATTTGGAAAACTTACAGAAGACGTTCCAAGAGAAGACAGAGGAAAAGGCAGCTCTAGAGGATCAGGTGGAACTGTGTGCTAAGAAGCTGGAACGAGCCTCCAAGCTAATTGGAGGGCTTGGTGGAGAAAAGTCAAGGTAGAGCTGCTTCTCAAAGGCTAGGGGACAACAGGCTTGAGCCTGACTGTCCTCACCTGTTTGTCACAGTTGCGTCTGATTTTACAGTGGCTAATTGAGAATATGTGGCATTCTGTAAAGCACCTGGCCAGGACTCTCCAAAGGAGCAAGATCAGTGTTGAGGATAGAGTTTATAACTTATTTTCAAAACAGAAACACCAAAGTGTGGGTGCTTTGGTCCTTCTTAGAAGGAGTAACAAAATACTCATGGGAGCAAATATGGAAACAAAGTGTGGGTCAGAAACTGAAGGAGGGGCTGTCCTGAGACTTCTCCACCTGGGTATCCATCCCTTGTGCAGTCACCAAAGGTAGACGCTGATGTGGATGCCAGGAAATACATGCCAACAGGAGCCTAATATAGCTGTGTCCTTAGAGGTCTGCCAGAGCCTGACATATACAGAGGCGGATGCTTACAGCTAATCATTGAACTGATCGCGGGGTTCCCAATGAAGGAGTTAGAGAGAGGACTGAAGGAGCTGAAGGGGTTTGCAACCTCATGGGGAGAGCAACAATACCAACCAACCAGAGCTCCCAGGGTCTAAACCACCAGCCTGGGAGCACATAGGGAGGGACCCATGGCTCCAGCTGTATATGTAGGGGAGGATGATCTTGTTGGGCATAGGTAGGAGAGGAGGTTCTTGGTTCCATGAAGGCTGGATGCCCCAGTGTGGGGGAATTCCAGGGTGGGGAGGTGGGAGTGAGGTGGGTGGGTGGGGGCACATCCTCATAGAAACAGGAGGAGGGGGAATGGGATGGGGGTTTCTGGAGGGGAGGAATGGGGAAAGGGAATAACATCTGAAATGTAAATAAAATATCCAATAAAAAATTAATTTCAGAAAAAAAACAGAAACAAACAAAAAGGGAGAGAGGAAGAGAAAAAGAAAGTGCAATGTTTACAGTCTTTTAATCTAAATGCTATTGGTACTCTTTCCCAATTTTCTATGTTTTCTTAAACTGGATTGCACATTCAGCTGTTTCATTATTGATCATGATTATTCTGTGAATAGTGTGATGTAGTAATTTAGTCCAGGTGAGATGATTTTGGAATTACTTCTAGTGTCAGTTTTGTTGAATGGAAAACCTATCAACCTTATCTGCAGAATCTCAACTTTGTAATTTAATGTGTATCAAATAGTCTTGCTTCAAAACAGAATTTCTGGAATGAATTTAAAATGTTTCTTATTATCTAGAATTATTTCTGAATTATTACTGAAAGAAAGACTAGGACAAAATCATTCTAGAGAAGATTCTGAAGCAAAACCACTGGGGTTGTTGTTATTGGAAGGCAGAGTGCTGCCGGACAGAGCTGCTGCTCTAAGACTGGAGTGTAGAAACTCATATAACGCAGCGTAACAGAGCTAGAAGGGATCTGAATCCTCATGCCACACAAGCCTAACATGTCCTAGCCTTTTCTTATAGGATTTAGACCAGAAGGCCCATGCACTTTCTTTTTTATTCTTTAAATTGGCCTGCAGGTATGTCTGTGCTCTGCTGGAGCCTGGTGCCTGTGGAGGCCCAAAGAGGATGTTGGATCCCTGAACTTTAGGTACAGATAGTTGTAAGACACCACGTGGATGCTGTAAACTGAATCCCAGTCCTTTAGAAGAGCAGTCAGTGCTCTTAACGATTAAGCCATCCCTCCACCCGGCCCTTCCCATACAATTGTGTGCTGTTTTGCCTTTGGTTTGTTGCACAGATGGTCTCAAGCTGCAAATGACCTTCAAATAACATATGAAAACCTAACTGGTGACGTCTTGGTGTCAGCAGGAGTCATAGCTTACCTTGGTGCTTTCACTTCTGGATTTCGACAAGAGTGTACGGAAAATTGGAGCAAGTTGTGCAAGGTATGCGGTTTATGTTAGTAAATTTTTGATTTAGAACATTCTAAGTATATACTGGAAAATATGATGTCAATGAGGACATCAAAAGAAAAAGCACTCAAAATATGGGAAGTCTTTTTTGTTTCTCCATCTCTGTCTCTGTCTCTGTCTTTCTCTCTCTCTCCTTCTTTCCCTCCATACCTCCCTCCCTCTGTCCCACCTTCCCTTCTTCCCTCCCTCCACTTCTTCTTTGATAAAATAGTCCTAACCTTCAATGCAATTTTTTTCTGATCTTTAGTTATGACAATCAAATATATATTTTAACTTAAAGATTATTTCAACTAATAAGATGAAAGAAAACATCCAACTTTTACTTCTTACAGGATAAAAAATTCCCATGTTCAGAGGAGTTCTCGCTGAGTAAAACCTTGGGGGATCCAGTCAAAATTAGAGCTTGGAATATTGCCGGGCTACCAACAGACGCATTCTCCATAGACAACGGTGTGATCGTTAATAATTCTAGACGGTGGTAAGGAACATAAAAAGTTTCCCCTGTCCCATTTGGAAGTCTTCAAGCATATATACCAGCTGAAAGACTTTGACAGAAGTTCCAGTGTAACAGTCACCCCTACACTCTGCAGTTAGCACTGTGTCCTATCTGCTGCTTAATCGCGATCTACCTACTCCTCTGCCAACCCATCTTTCTAAATGTGTTTAAGGATGAGCTGCAGACATGCGTTTCCCCCTTAGCCACTGAATATTGTTGACTAAAGATCAATTTTTGTTTATGCATTTTTGTTTGAGATTAAAAATTACACGTAATAAAATAGAAAAACTCAAATTTACCATTCGGTGAGTTCAGAAAAAGTGTACAACTGTGCACTCAAACTTGACTCCATCAAGATGGAGAGCAAGGATACCTCCTGAAGAGTTCCTTTCCTGCCCTTATCCCACCCCAGGCAATCATCAGTCCAATTACTTCTCACACAGATTGGTTATACCTGTTCTAGGACAACATGGACTAGTTACACCTGATATAGAGCATCACATTTATTTCTTGACACATACATATGATACATCTTCCTCTCAGCATAACTGTTTTGAGATTCATCCATTTTTCTCTACATAGGGCTATGTTTCAGGGAGGGTTATATTCTATTGTATAAATATGTTAGTGTTTATGATTTTTATGATTCTACCTTTTATTCGGGTATCTTACCGAATTGAAGATTTCTAAATCATATATATATATATATATATCATGGCAGTAAGTATGCCTGAATCAGGGTGATGTAAGGATGGGGACACTTAGTGTCTGATGAAGAAGAGACCTCATGAGTGTGATCATGATATGCATTAGAAATGACCCCATGGGAAGACTTAAAACCAGCCACAGTGGCTCAATACCAACTGAGGAGACTTTCTCAAGAAGACTAACTTTCCAAACACTGGAAATCATTCCTCATATTCCAGGTGATGTAATGACTGTACACTATTCTTTTCTCCAGCTACGTGTTTGCCTGTTTTCCCACAGAGAGCAGAAAAGGGTGTTAAATGTCCTCAAACTAAAGTTTCAGACACCTGTAAGTTGCCACATGGGTGCTAGTCCTTTGCAAAAACAGCAAATGCTCTTAGACAGTAAGCCATTGCTCTAGCCACCAATTACATATTCTTAAACATAAAGCCTTTACTTTACTATCCTAGAAAAGCATCCCTAGATAGATCTGTGTACCAGACTTAACTTAGGCACTCACTCTCTATAGTCCTACTCACAAACTGGTAAAAATCATTTATAAGCTGATGTGTTTTTATTTTAAACCTTTAGTGACTGATCGTTCACATTATACTAGCTCTTTCTGTGCATTAAGATTGCTGTGATGACAGTGTTATATAGAAAACAGCACAGCCCACTGATTCACAGATTCCTGGTTCTTCTCACACTGGGGTGGTTTTAAAACCTTGGGGTTTTTACCAATGTGAGTTGAGTTTCTTCATTTTTAAGAACAAAATTCTCTTTTTTGTTTTTAAATTAAGTTATTCCTTTGACAATTTCATGTGTATATAATAGATTCTGGTCACATTCATCTTTTTACCCTCTCGTGTCCTCCCACCACCACTACCCTGCCTCCTACTTCCTTCCACCAAGTTCCCACTGTACTTTCATGTCTTTTTGTTTTTGCTCTGTGACCAGTGGGTTTAAACCAGGAACATTCTTTTTACTTTTTGTTTTAATTTGTAGTTATTTTTGAGAATTGCACGCATGAATTTCTATCACACACATACCCCCCAACAACTCCTCTTGTGCTCACCTCCCTGGCAAATTCATGACCTCTTCCTATTAGTTATTACTGTCACATGCATATATATATGTATATATATATATATATAATCATAAGACTTTTGAAAGATAAATCTTTATATAAAATACTTTGCATTTGTAAGAACATCCACTTAAATTGCATAGATTTTTAAGGAATTGCAGCGTTTATGTGTCCCTCTTGGAATTTCCCTCCTATTTCCAGGCCTTTAATGATTGACCCCCAGGGTCAAGCCAATAAGTGGATCAAAAACTCTGAGAAAGATAACCAGCTCAGTGTTATTAAGTTATCTGACACAGACTATATGAGAACCTTGGAAAACTGCATTCAGTTTGGAACTCCACTTCTCCTGGAAAATGTTGGTGAAGATCTGGATCCATCTTTGGAGCCTTTGTTACTCAGACAAACTTTTAAACAAGGTAGAACTGAAAGATGATTGGATTATTTTGAAGCATGAAAGAAAAATAAGACAAATTTAATAATGATGATAATAACTTAGAACTCCTATGTCATTGCTATGTATGGAAAGAAATCTGAAACAAGCTTTCAGAACTGAACCTTGATCCAGTATCCTAAGATACTTTGGCTTATCTTTGCCTTATCTACTACTCCCCTCAATTTTAGCTCTGTTGAGAGCATGAGACAGTTGAAGCCAGTCTGAAATCCTCTTGTCTTATGATCATTGACTTCAGAAAGTTCACTAATTATGAATAATAACAAGAATGTGGCCCAGAGTTGAGTCTAGGTAAACATTACCCACATGTGTCTTTCTGCTGATGAACATTTACCTCTGTCAAGCCCTGATACTTTGGTGAGCTTCAGTCATATAAAAAGTTTGGAATCACAGTTAAAATTTGATAGAAAAATTCAAAAGCATCTTTGTTGTTGTTGGTTTGGTTTGGTTTGGTTTTTCAAGACAGGGTTTCTCTGTGTAGTCTTGGCTGTCTTGGAGATTACACTGTAGATTAGGCTGGCTAGGAACTCAGAGATCTTCCTGCTTCTGCCTCCCAAGTGCTAGGATTAAAGGTGTATGCCACCACCACCAGACTCAAAAAGTGTCTTGATTTGTAAAGTTCCATGACCTCCTGACACAGTGTCTTACGTTTCAACAGAATGAGTGTCCTACTGTATACTTGCGTATTTGTCGCTGCAGCAGTAACTTTTGTCACAACTGTTTTCTATCTCAAGTTACTTAGGACTCTTTGTGTATAATTTAGGTGAGGCCTTAGAAGTGCACAGCAAGAGAGGCTGAGTAACTTTGGCTCATTCGTTATCTATTTCTCCTGGAATATAGGTGGTATCGATTGCATCCGACTTGGTGAAGTCATTATTGAATATTCTTTTGATTTTAAATTTTATATCACTACAAAACTGAGAAACCCACACTACATGCCAGAACTAGCTACAAAAGTGTCTTTGCTCAATTTCATGATAACTCCGGAAGGGCTTGAGGATCAATTACTAGGCATCGTCGTCGCAAAGGAGAGGTATGTATTTTTTCAGTGCTTCAGGCAGTTTAGAGAGTATCTGTAGGCCATCAATACTTTTGTTTTGGGACTGTTTTGAAATGGCTAAAGATTTTATATTTTGTTATTATAAATCAAACAATTATAGTCATTAAAAATGGCCATTCAGTAATAACTTTTAAACCAAGTCTTGTTATATTTGTCTTTTATTATGTTAAATTTAGAAACTGCTCAGGATAGGGAGTGAAGATAGGAGCTACATATGTGATATAAATAATATTGTATTGAAAAATGATGGGTGAATCTCTCTGTGTTTAAAATGAAACAAAGGAGAGGATTAAGATGAAATATACCTGAATGTTAGCAGTTATTTTACCTAATATATAAGAGCATAAGTAATTTTTATGGTTCTATTGTTTGTTTTGTATTTTTCCATTACTAACATACTCTGTTTTTCAAATGAGTAAAAAAAAATAACAAAATCCAGAAAAGCAACAAGAAAGAGCTGCTTTTACGAGAAAGTAATTGATTTGAGTCGAATCTTAATACAATCTTATTAAGTGGTCTGTTGAGTGAAGTCAAATTAAAAGGATATAAAAGTAACTTTGTTACTTCCAAAATGTAAAAATAAACAAGACCTATGTTATAACGTTCTCTATAGCAGATGGTATTATTTTGAAGTTTTATCCCATTTTTGCTTCTTAATGCTTAATGTCAATTTTGCCTTTCCCTTAATAAGCCAGTCAGACCAGTCCTCCTTCCTATGGCTATTATTTTAGAAGAGTTATTGAGGACAGAGTCAGTGAATTAATAGGAAATACCATACTTGGTGTCCTTATCTTCCTACATATAACCAATAATACCATAAGAATAATCTCACACATTCTTAGAGCTGCGGTCACATTTTAAGTATACAAATGACTTTTCTTTGCTAAAGTTTCTCAAATCAATATTTCTATGAGTCTTTTCATTTTCTATTGCTGTGATCAAATATGTTGACAAAAAGGAAGTTGTGGGACAAAGGGTTTATTTTAGCCCACTGTTCCCATTTGTAGTCCTTAGCAGGAAAGTCACAGCAGCAGGAGTGTGAGAGAACAGATCATGTGACACCTGCTATGAGAAGAAGAGACCAGTAGGTATATGCATGCCAGCTCTCAGCTCCCTCTCTCCTTGTCATAGTTCAGGGTCCAGCCCATAAAGTGGAAGTGATGGCTGACCTGGTCTACTTAATCCCTCACTGAGATTCCCTTTCCAGGCAAGTTTAGATTATATCACTTTAACCATTAAAACTAGCCATCAGTTATTTTCCCCTTACTGAAGTAAAATTGATTTGTTTTTTTTTACATCTATATAATAACTCAAATATTCTAAAAAGGTTATATATAATGTTTAGGTAGAGGTTAGATTAAATGCCACAAATTTACAGTAAATGTTTCTATCTTTTTTAGGCCAGAGTTAGAGGAGGAGCGGAATGCCCTCATTCTTCAGTCTGCGGCTAACAAGAAGCAGCTGAAGGACATAGAGACAAAGATCTTAGAAACACTATCTTCTTCAGAAGGGAACATTTTGGAAGATGAAAGTGCAATAAAAGTCTTAGACTCTGCCAAAATGATGTCTAATGAGATCACGAAGAAACAGCAGGTGAAAATAAAGACTCCTAGAAGCATTCGGATCCTACCATCTGAGTTTGTGTCTAGTCCCTGAGGAAATGCTGTAGTAAACTTTCAAGAAAAGAAAAATAGATAAAATACAAAAGCTTAGAAACCAAAGTTAAACTGAGAAGAGAGTCTCTTACCGTTGAATTTCTCTACACTTAGTTCAGTCTATACATTATCTATACACAGAAGAAGCAAAAGAAATTTACTAGCTAAGTATACAGCACAATCAGGATTATTTACGTTTTAGTTGACTCTTCATCTAGAAACTAAACTTTGAAAGTTGTCTTACCCCAGTTAGTGGTTGGAGTTTGGGGTGTGTGGAGATATGTCCTGAGTGCCTGAGCCATGAGTGGTTCTTGGAACCAATAGGGGATGTTCTGACATCAGCTTGTCATCTGTGTGTTTATTGGAGAAAAGGGGGGAGGGAGGAAGTAGGAGAGAGAAGGAAGAGGAGAGAGTGGAGGGGGGAGAGAGCAGACATGAGGGCCAGATGGTCTACAGCCAATGATAAATTCCAAACTTATCAAACAGGCAAGTGCTTTTTTTTATACTGAATCTCTTCCCCGCCCTTCCCGAGGGCTGATTTATTTATGAGATGAGGCGTGAAGTGACAGGCCTCAGCCACTGGTGCCTATGTGGAAGTCAGGGGCCAACTTCTGGGAATTGGCTCCCTCCTGCTAGCCTATTGAAGCCAAATCTTTCTTGTTTTCTGCTGCTGCACCCTGTCACAAATGTTAGATGACTCTCCTGTCTCTGCCTCCCATTTTGCCATAGAAGTTCTGGGATTACAGATGGGAGCCTCCACATCTGGCTTTTTGCATGTGTTCTGGAGAGGAAATTCAGGTTGCAGGAATCACCTCATTTCAAGACCTGACCCTTTAAAACATTTATTATTCTTTTTTCCTTTCCTTTAAAAATATTTTTTATGATTTTAATTTTTTAAGTTTTGTTTTTATTTTTGTATGTGTATGAGTATTTTGTCTGCAAATGTATCTGTCCACTACATGCATGCCGTGAGCCTTCCTAGGCAAGAAGAGAGTAGGAACTGGAGTTAGATGGTTTTGAGCCGCTCTCTGGGTGCTGGAAACTGAACTGTTGTAGGTTCTCTACAGCAACAGCTAGTGCTCTTACCCACGGACCCACCTCTCCAGCCCCATCACTTTATCCTTATAGCTAACAGAAACAAAGCAGAGGTTGCATTAGTCACTCAGCATCCCTCACTGTGCCCCCTTCCAATCCAGCTCCACTCAGGGACAAGTGTTGAAGAGGTTTCGTTTATAGTAGTGTGCTGATGAAGATTCACTCTGTCAGGTGCTTGGTCCCTTATTTTTACATTTTTGAAGAAACAAGACAGTGTCTTAGAGAAATATTGTATAGCAGCTCATATCTGAGCGGTGGCTGAGATACTTTCTGGTGTCTGTCTTCCCATTCCTGTCCATCAGAGCAGAGGAAACTCTGGTGAACTTCCCATTGCCCCCTCACCAAACTGGTCATCAAAGAGGATCGGAGAGGAGAAGGATCCTCATTTGCTTTCTGTTACTGTGGTGAAACACTGCCTCAAACCAACACGGGAGGAGAGGGTTTATTTGGTTCATAGTTGCAGTCCATCATCAAGGTCAACCAAGACAGAAACTCAAGGCAAGAGTCCGGTGGCAGAACTGAAATGAAGAGCATGGTGCCTCATCCTTTGTAGCTTGTTCAGCTTGGTTTCTTGTACAACACAGAAGCACCTGCCCCAGTGTGACCCTGGCAGAAACAAAGAGGCGGGCGCAGGAAGGAAGAAACCGTGGGTCAAGGCTTAGATAGGAGTAGTAGGTTTACGTAAAAGACTATTAATTACCAGTTGCTGCTAACTTTGTTTCCTCCTCCTCCTCCTCCTCCTCCTCCTCTTCCTCCTCCTCCTCCTCCTCCTCCTCTCCCTCCTCCTCCTTCCTCCTCTTTGGTTTTTTTGTTGTTGTTGTTGTTTTGTTTTGTTTTGGTTTTGGTTTTTTAAAGCAGGGTTTCTCTGTGTAGCCCTAGCTGTCCTGGAACTCACTCTGTAGACCAGGCTGGAACTTTGTTTCCTTCTTATAGTCAAGACTGAGGTTCAGAACTTTCTGGTCATTTGTGATTATATTTTATTCATTTTAGAGAAAGTCCACAAAAGAGCAGACCTCCATTCAGAATAGCTAAAATTTTTAAAAATCCAATTTTTTTAAATTTTATTATTTAATGAAGATTACAAGAGAAGAGTGTAAGGTGTGTCTTTTTTCTTTTCCTCTTTCCTACCTCTCAGCTTCCTCGTCCTTCCTCTGTAATTCTTCCATTTTTCTTTTTTACCCCTCTCCTGTAGAATGTACTTGAATTAAGTTCTTATAATTTGTCACTGCATTAAGGGCTTTTCAAATATATGTAAAAATTCGCTATAAGAAAATCACATGATGGAGAGAATCACCGTTCATTCATCTTGGTTCTTCTCCTCTGCCAGGTTGCAGAAAAAACAGAGCTAAAAATAGCAGAGTCACGAGAAGGATACAGACCCATCGCCAAACATTCGTCAGTGCTATTCTTTAGCATCGCAGACCTGGCTAACATAGATCCCATGTACCAATACTCTCTCATCTGGTTTGTGAACCTTTACATCAACTCTATTCACGACAGGTAAGTGGATTTCTAGCTTCCTCCATTCTTCCTAGGTTGGATGGTGAACATCCCTTCCATTAAAAAAAAGTAATTATTGTTTCTAGTTACCGCTGTAGAGTTTTCATTGTCGATCATTGAGTGGAAGAAGGAAAAACAGAGCAAAAGACATCTAAAGTCTTCCCTTTAAAAAGTTGTCTCATGCACCTAAGATTTATGCATAGAGCAATGGTCTCACTATGTGGCCCAGGTTAACCTAGTAGTTGCTATTAGCCCAGGCTATCTTCAGAGTTGGGGACAGTCTTTCTGTCTCTGTTCCCTGAATGCTGAGATTATAAGTGTGCCACCATACCTGGCTCTTCTTTCTGTCTTTTAAATATTCCAATGATGGTCAAGATTTCTTTTTGCTGACAATTCTAATGTCTCTTTCTCCAGCTCTGAGGTGTCTAAAAGGCTGTACCACATTTATATTTATTTGCTAGAGGTTTTCACTTTAATGGATTAATAAATTTATTAGTCACTTTCCTTGTTGCAAGGACAACACCTGGAAAAACCAACTGAAGAAAGGAAGGGTTTATGTTGGCTCACTTTGAAGGTCCATTGAGCATGGTGGAAGGGTGGAAGGTGGGTAGTCACATTGTGTCTATAAAGGAGGGAGCCAGAGATGGACACTGGTGCTTAGTTCCCTTCCTCCTCTAGCCCATGGGCTGATGCCACCATCTCAATTAACCAATCTATAAACCTCACGGACATTCCTAGAGGTTATCTTAAACCATTACTCTAAATCAAGCAAGTTGACAAGCAAGTTTAACTGTCACAATGAGTGTATACGTGTTTTGACATTGTTCAATCTCCATTTTACCTGATATCAGCCACAGGACTTCAGAAAAGTCAGTTACCCTTTCTGCAATTGCTCCGGTTTCCTTTTATTATAAAAACAGAAATAATAATTATACTTACCTCCTCTGGTAGTTCTGAGAATTAAGTGAGATATCTTCAAAGTGTTGAGAACAATGCTTTGTATTCAGTAACTTCTGTACTTACTAAGTAAAATTATAATGTGACTCAAACCACATGTGTACCATAAGAAATTTCTTTGTATGTCAGCTCCTGGTAGAATAATTAAAATTTCTAAGGTCTCCCAGCTGTGACTTAGAATGTGAATTTACACTGTGCTCAGGATGGAGGAAGAGGTCAGGCTGAAGAATTTTAAAATGTCATTTACATGTTTCAGTGATGATTTGGAAGAATTAGAACTGTTAGAAATTGCTCAGATGTGACAAGTTTTACATTTGTATGTGAGTGATTTCAAATGTTTCTAGTGATGAAAACTTTAATAAAGTTAGAACATTTTATAAGTTAATCTAGGTCACTTAATTTCCCTATTTTTGTTTGACAGCATATTTTTCTTTTTTGACCTTTTAGCAACAGATCCAAAATCTTGGAAAAGCGGCTGCGCTATTTAAATGACCACTTCACGTACAATTTATACTGTAACATATGCCGCTCTCTGTTCGAGAAAGACAAGTTGTTGTTCTCCTTTTTGTTGTGTGCTAACCTTCTTCTGTAAGTGACCTGTGTTTCCTTAGCCATTTTATTTTTTTCACTTACTCAATTTACATCCCACTCCCTGCCCCCCTCCCGGTAACCCCTACCACAACCCTTCTCCCATGCCCCCTTCCCCTTCTCCTATGAGCAGGTGCCCTCCCCCAGGTGTCTCCCCAACCCTGGCACTTCAAGTCTTTGTGAGGCTAGGCACCTCCTCTCCCACTGAGGCCAGAAAAGTCAGCCCAGCTAGAAGAACATATCTCATAGACGGGAAATAGCTTTTGGGATAGCCCCCACTCCAGTTGCTCAGCATCCACATGAAGGCCAAGCTGCACATCTCCTACATATGTGCTGGGAGGCCTAAGTCACCCAACCCATGGGTGTTCTTTGGTTGGTAGCTCTGGTGGTTCAGACTCTGAGAGCCCCAAGGGTCTAGGTTAGCTGACTCTGATGGTCTAAAATTTTTTTCCTCATCATCCATACTTTTTATTACATTTGTGTGTGTGTGTGTGTGTGTGTGTGTGTGTGTGTGTGCAGGAGTTCTTTCTCCCCTTTCTTCACCAGGGACCTAGGGACCTAGAGATTACTCTCAGGTTATCAGGCTTGGCAGCAAGTGTCTTTATCCACTAAGCCATCTCATTGACCCATCAATATAACTTTAAAAAGATTCATCAGGGAACCTTTTTTTTTTTTTTTTTTTTTGGTTTTTTGAGACAAGGTTTCTCTGTGTAGCCCGGGCTGTCCTGGAACTCACTCTGTAGACCAGGCTGGCCTCAAACTCCAGGGAACCTATTATTTGTTTCTATTGATTGGTTTGTGGCATTCATTGTAAGAATACATTAAAGTTTCTCAGTTCCACTTTTGATGGACATTTGAGTTGTTTCAGTTTGGCACTGTTATAAATAACAACACCACTGACACTGTTGTGTGAAGGTCTCAGTGCTGTCATGCACACACTTCTTTTTTGAAGAGAGCTAAAAAGAAACTTGCTACTTATTTGACAGATGTTCCTGTTTATCTCCCATTAACAGTGCGAGCTCCTGTTGTTGTAGGTCTGCACCAAAAAATTTGTATTACCCCAAAATACTTTTTTTTACATCCGGGTCCTACTAAGTAAATGGCCTTGAACCCACAACCTTCCTGCCTCAGTCCCCTAAATGCTGAATAATGGGTATGTGTCATCTATTGTCATTTTCAAAATACATTTTAATATGCAATAAGCATTATTTCTTGTTGTTTATGCTTACATCTCTGTGATGATTAATGATGTCAAGCCATAGACATACACATAGACACCACACCACACACACAATACAACACACACACAACACAATACAACACACACATACACCTAGGCTTTTGTTTTGGGTTGGGTTTTTTTTGTCTTTTTTTTGTTTGTTTTTATTCATATCACATTCCTTTGTTTCTATTGGGATTTTGTTGTTTTCTGACTGACTTCCATGAGTTCTTCATATAATCTAGATCCAAACCCAACAATAATGTGCAATTGTCATTCAATATCTAGAATGCCTTCTCATTCTCTTAATTGACACAAATTTTTAATTTTAATATTACCTGATTTATAGTCTTTGGTTAGTGAAAATACTTGGCCATCAATCGACTATTATAAAGATATTCATAATTATCTTTAAAGTTCATTATTTTCCTTTTACATTTAGGTCTGAGCCAGAGGCAGGAGATCTGTGTGCATGATCTAGCATAGACGTCAAATTTTACCATTAATCCATATAGTTGTCTACTCATTAAAGTCAGATGTTATTCCAGCAGGTCTGCCTTTAGATGCTGCTCCTTCTTCCTAGCAGTTTTTAACATCCTTTCTTTGTTCTGTACATTCAGTGTTTTGATTATTGTGCCATAGGGAATTAATTTCTTTTCTGGTCCTGTCTATTTGATGTTCTGTATGCTTCTTCTAATCTCCTCATTTAGATTGGGAAGTTTTCCTTTTATGTTTTGACAATGTATTTTCTTTGCCTCTGACCTGCTTTTCTTCTCCTTCCTCTTACCTATTATTCACTGGTTTGGGTTTTTTTACAGTATCTCATATTTCCTGGATGTTTTGTGCCTCAATTTCTTAAGATTTAACATTTGCTTTGGCTGTGCTATCCATTTCCTCTACCTTGTCTTCAATGCCTAAGATCTTTTCTTCCATGTCTTGTGCTCTGGTGAGCCTTTTCTCTTGGTTTTGACATCCTAAAATTCTAATTTCTGGTTTTATTTCACTTTGAGTTTTCATCATTGATTCTCTTTCTTTGTTAACTCCTACCTTTATGTCTTGAAATGTTTTCATTAGTTCATTCAGTTTGTATTTTCCCAGACTTCATTAAGGAATTTATTCACATTGTCTACAAGGTCCTTGAATATATGCATAAGTACTATTTTGAAGTCTTTGTTCCGTGGTTTAGCTATATTTCATTTCTCAAGGCCTACTCTAACAGGATTACAAGCTTCTGGAGGATGCATGTTGTCTTGATATTCATGTTTGTGGTTCTACTTTGAGTCTAGGCATCTGGAGTTATAATGTTTGAAGTGTTTCTTGGTGTTGGTATAGTCTTTGCTGGGTGCTAGTTCTGTTCTGTTCTGTGGTTGCTACCACCCTCTCTGGATCCTAGGCAAGTATGGTGACTATAGACCCCTTATGGAGAGTGCTTTTGTGGGCCAATGGTGAGAGAAAAAAATAGAAATGGACTACGAGGAAAAACTTAGAGGAGTCCCGAAGGAGTGGGGGTAGGGTGGGAGGAGGGGCTTCTGCAGGCAGGCTGCTATCAGACTAAGAGTAGTTGAGGGCCAGAAGGCTGGTGAAAATAACCTACCTGAGTCCCAGCCCAGGGTGGCCACTGACAGAATGTATTTCTGAGGATCCATGGCTGACACAGGAGTGAAGGTGGCATCCCATTTTAACATCAACAGTTTATAATGGCTATTGTTTGGGAACACAGGGCCAAGAAAGAGATTGAATACCAGGAACTGATGTTTCTTCTAACTGGAGGAGTAAGTCTTAAGAGTGCTGAAAAAAATCCTGATCCAGACTGGCTACAGGATAAAAGCTGGGAGGAGATTTGTCGAGCAAGTGAACTTCCAGTCTTCCATGGACTCAGGTAACTATGTGCATTTGGTGACTTGTCTGGTCGATACCAAGCGAACAGTCTTCTGAGGGGGTAGTGTGGATGATTATAGGAAAGACAGAAAAGAAGGCTCAGAGACAAAGGTTAGAAATCAGGAGGGCTGTCCAGTTAGTACTGCGAGTTTAATTCTTTTAGGCTTTACAGTATCTTGGGAAACAAAGCCATGCTAACAAACAAGTTACTAAAATGTACACAAGACATTTCTTACCATCCCAAAAGCCTCTGCTCTTTCCACCAAAATCAATAGAATCTTCAGCTTCTCCCCTTGAGCCTCAGGTACACCTTCTCTTAACATTCCATGCCTCAACAGGCCAGGAAATCTGCTAACAGGCCCCGATCTGCCCTGACTCTGCCTTAACCTGCTTCAGAGAAGTGGTAAAATGGCCCCCAACACTTAACATTGAATGGTGACAGAAAAAATTGTAATCTAATTTTTTTCCATGATTCTTTCTAGTTTATTGGCTAGTAGAAAGACAGGCTCCTCACATAATGTAACACTTCCCACACAAAGCCATGGTCTCTGGCAGCTATGTCATCGCAATACACCAATGAAAGGGACAGCTGACTGTGTAACCACCCTGGGAAGGGAAACCAGAGGGTCCAGTAGCTCCCCTCCCTGTCCATACTCAGAGCACTGATATGAGATCTAGGACTACAGGGGAAGACTTAGGGTAACATGTATGTGTAATTAATTAGTCCCAGTGGCACAGGAAAAGTGAAGGTCGTAAGGTGAAAAGGAAGGGTTTTGGAGTGTGACAGAGCACCCTAGTCTCAGGTGGGCTGTAACCCAAGAGTGAGGGTACATAAGCTCACAGACTTCCCCTGAGTCAGTGGCTCCAAGTTCTTGTCTTGTAAATTTGAAAAAATGGAATTCCTGAGCCCCAGAAGGATGAGCTTTAGACGGTTTAGTATAGATCATAGGGGGAGCTTAACATAAAGAAAGAAGGCAGGGTTCCTGAAGAGCAGGAGCAGATCCCAGGGAACAGGCTGCTGTTGACTGAGTAGCCCAGGAGGATTTTGTAGAAGAAACTGGGGTGAGGCACTGGGAGATGACCTGGTCAGTCTGCTCAGCTTCAGTGCTGTCCAGATGCCTCTCAGATTGCGTCACACCCTCAGGCAACAGTGTGTGTGCATTTAGGAGAAAAGATAAGAGACCAAAGCAGGAAAAAAAAGCTCACCCTACTTTTTCTGACGTTTCTAGCCTCTGGCCAGAACAGAACCAAAGCTGTTTCCAGCTTCTGACCAAGCACAGGAGCCGAGGTCCCTGTCCTACACTACCTGAGCAACCCTAGTCTCCTGTTGTCATTGTGGGTCCAGGTTCATCTTCTTGACCATTGCTCCAGTCCTGCCAAGTGGGCCAAAGAAATCTTTACAAGGGTCTTTGGGAGATGAATGAGTACTTCTGTTTTGGTGTGCAGCCTGGCCCTCCTGGGTAATTTTGCCTTCATCTGGGAGGCAGGAGTTTATCCTCCGAGGTTGTGTTCTTCCTCCCATAGAAGGTGACTGCAGGTTTAGAAGTACAACTCACCTCTGTGCTTTCAGCCTTGAAGGGTTGACACAGGGCTAGACAGATACTCTGTCAGTTACTTACTCAAAGACCTGCAGAAGTAATTAGGTGGCCCAACCACAGGCTTAATAAACTGAAGGCAAGATGTTTATTCTGACTAACTTAGGTTACTTAGGCCCAAGTGAGGAGTCAATACATTTTCAAAAATCAGTTTCCACGGGTCTTTTTCATAAACATTTTACAAGTTATAGCTCCTGCATTGTAAGAAATCAAAGCAAGTTTTATTTAACTCTGTATCCTCGAAGCTAACATTTAAGTCACCATAATAAGAACACAACCTGTTATACCTTACATTCTGGAAGGTAACATCACAGGTAGATATTCCACACCCTCAAGCCTCTTGGGCAAAAGAGTGAGAGTGGGCTGTTGGTAACTGTTAACTCAGCAGCAACAGCTAGAAACAAACAAACAAAAAAGAACTTCGGCAGAGTGAACGCCCCCAAGTGAAGGAAGTGGGAAACAGTGGGCAGCCTGAGAGAAGCACCCTAGCAACCAGAACTGACAGTGACTTTTTAACAAGGGAAGTGTCTGCAGAGGTAGACTAGGGATCTGACAAGGAGCATTTGCTGACCTCAGAGTGTGTCTGCCCCCTCCCCCAGGTTCAACTTCGCTTTCCTGATTGGACCTATTTTCTTCACTTCATTTGCATGCCTGCATTCAGTCACCTAAGTGGCACTCTGTGACTGAGCTTCAGAGCACAGGCCTAGGTAGGGCTGGATAGAGCAGGCTGCTGTAGTCTAGGGATTTAAACATGGTCCCCTTGCTACCTTGTTCCTTCCCTTCTCAGTCATCTCTTAAAATATTTCTCAGTGAAAATACAATCATTTTTTTCTACCAGGGAGCATTTTTGTAATTACATATATTTGTGGGAGGAAATCTATGACAGCAAAGAGCCGCACAATATGAAACTTCCAGAACCAATGGATAAGACACTGAACGAACTGCAGAAAATAATCATTCTTCGCTGTCTAAGGCCTGACAAGGTAAAAAAAAAACATTTGAAATCCTGATCAGATGCAGTTTATGATGCAGCAGTCCTAGACACAACAGCTCCATGCTGCAGAATGACACTGTAGTTTATGATGGGCCTCTTAACTGCAAAAATAGGTGAGACTGGAATCCTGGTCTTGCTCTGTGGCTGGTACTGAAAATCTAGAGACAGAAGTAAGCAAAGGAAGATGGATTTTTGATTTTTTTTTTTTTACAGTTTTAGCCAGAGTTGAAAGAATAAGGGGGGAAAAACTCACGTTTCTGGGTCTTGCTTATTAAAAAATATGATTTTAGCACTAGGGAGTCAGGAAAACCACTGTTCATTCCAGGCTAGCCTGGGGTACAGAGTGTCATTCTAGGCTAGCCTGGGGTACAGAGTGAGATCTTGTTTCAAAAATCCTAAATAAAAAAATAAATATTTTAAAATGTAATTGCAGAAAGCATATAGAATTAGGCTAGAAAGGGACTGTCTTTGGATGCTGTGCAGTGTCTATATAAGCTAAGGGTTAAAATGTTTAAAAGTTGTAGAAGCTCATACAGCTAAGAAGCTACAGTAGACTAAGGGTAGTTTCTTCTCGAAGAGCAAAAAGCTTTGCTGAACTGACCCAACAAGACTCTTCTGGACACACCTATTTGTGCTTTGCTGATTGGCTCTCTGGTGGGCACTGGAGTTAGACTTGCATCTTGTGGAGTTACTACCTTGTCCTCCGTGTTTTGAAGGCTGAACTTATACATCATAGAACGTACCCCACTAGAACACTCAATATTTGTTTATTTGTTAAGGTCTCCCTAGCAAGACAAGGGAACTCTTGACATTGGGAATCCGTATCTTGTTCTGCTGCATATCTTCAAGACTTAAAGTACTGCATGGCAGATACTACATGGTCAGTCAATTTCTACAAAGTGGGTTGAACCAAATTGAATTAAACATATGTCATGTAGGGATTTCCAAAAGCACAGAACCTATCGGTAAAGAGAGACTGGTTGAGTTTAAGGAAGGGAGTCATGAAATGGTTAATTCAGCAGGGATGCTGGGAGAACTGAGACCCAAGGAACACTGATAATGCTGCTCAGATCCACAAGCAGTCTTAGGAGATGGCTGTCCCCATGCCTTTTTGTCCTATAAACTGTCTCACAGATTGCCATGTTACATTATAGAGGGGAACCAGCTTTATTAATCACTGGATTTAAATATTAATCTTGTCAAAAAGTCTCAGCAACAAAGAATAGACTACTATATGACCAAATACTTGGGTATTATGGCCTTAAAAGAAATCTTTTGCTTATTTATGTAGCAGCATAAGAAGCAAAATAATAGCTCTAACTATGGTTATAATTTATATTTTTCTTATAATAAATATTAGTATAAAATAATCCACAATAACAAAGACATCAAAAATACAACTGCTTAGAAGTTAACTTATCTGTCTGCAGCTCAAAGATTGTAAGATAGTAAATGGTAAGGCACCTTAATATATCTGCTTAGATGTTAGCCTCCTCCTTTTTGCCTTCCAAGACTTATTTATTTTATGCATGTGAGCATGTTGCCTGCATGTATGTTATTTATATTATACTATGTGCATGCCTGGTGCTCATGGAGGTCATAAGAGGGCATTGGATCCCTGGAACTGGAGTTACAAGTAGTTGTGAGCTACCGTGTGGTGCTGGGAACTAAACCCAGGTCTTCTGCAAGGGTGAAAGCCTTCTGTTAACTGCTGAGCCAGCTCTCCAGCCCTATGTGTTCTTATCTGAGACTGTTTTGCTCTGGAACCCTAGCAGGTGTCAACTGGCACCCCTGCCTCAGGGGGTACCCTACTAGGCTTACTTTGTTTTTGAGATCACCTAGAAATTCAGGTTTTCTTGCTCATCTAAGAAAGCCCCTTAGTCAGCAAGATTTGAAGCTTCCTCATGAACACTACATCTGTTGAAAAGATGGTATCGAAGCAAACGTCCTTATAAAACTATGATCTGGCAATAATATCTATAATTTTTACCTGTGGGCTAATGAGATGACCCAGTAATATAAAGGCATTTGCTGCCAAACCCAATGCTCTAGAGTTTGATTTCTAGGACTAACATGGAAGAAGGAGAGAGCCAGTTCCCACAAGTTACCCTTTTGCCCCAGCCCTCGGGGATTCAATGACCCTAGGGAAGGGGGCTAAAGATCAAAGGGACAAGAGACACAAGGAATGAGAGGGAGTCTGGGGTTCTGATCGAGCTCTGAAACTTTAATTTCAGGGGCAGGTTATAAAGACACAGGAAAACGGGAAGTTTGGGTGAGGGTCATTGCTTAGGGCTATCCCACTATTGAATCATAAGACCGCCCCACTGTCAGATCCTTATTGCCCTAGATCATCCCACTGTCATAACCGGCTCCCAGGAAATGCCAGATGTTCTTTAAGTTCCTGGGACCTGAGACCCGAGACCGTCCTTTCTTAACCTTGCACTGACTAGGCTTTTTTAGAATAGCAGGTGACTTCCTGGGTTTGGCTCCCGGCATCCTCTGACCTACACAATCCATATATAAAAATAAATAAGTACATATAATAAAATATATTAAACAACAATAATAATAAATACTTGTGGTTTTCTACCTTAAACAGTCACATATAACATTAGCCAGAAGAAATACTGAGAAATGCATGGGACACTCTTACCTAAAGGACACAAAAATAGCCAAGAGTTTTCAGTTTTTGCCATATTAAATGAAAAGACCTTATTTTTTAAGAGGATTTTTAAAAAATATTTTATGTATGTATGTGAGAGAGAATATGCTCTATGTGTGTGTGTGTGTGCACGTGTGCCATATTAAATGAAAAGATCTTATTGTTTAAGAGGATTTATAAAAAATATTTTATGTATGTGAGTGAGAGAGAATATGCTCTGTGCGTGTGTGTGTGTGTGTGTGTGTGTGTGTGCACGTGCGCGCGCGTGTGTGCCCATAGAGACCAGAAGGGGGTGTTGGCTCCCCAGGGGCTAGAGTTACAGATGTTTGTGAGCTGGCAGATGTGGATCATAGAAACAGAATTCAGGCCCTCTAGAAGAGAAGCAAGCACTCTTGACTGTGTCCTGTCTCTGCAGTCCTGAGACATATCTTATGTTTAAGATTTACTAGTGTCTCTTTCTCTGTAAACAGATACTCTCTTTTGTCCACTTTCCATTGGAATGTTTTTCTTGTCATATCAGGTTACAGATTTTTTTTTTTTTACGCTTTAGGGAAATTAATGCTCTTATGATGCCTTTTAACGATTATGCTCGAATTTTAACATTTTGTGTTTTTCAATAAATATGTGCTATGCAGCAAAACATTCTCAAAACTCTGTATCTTCTCTATTTCCAGATAACCCCAGCTATAACAAATTATGTAACTGACAAGCTAGGGAAAAAATTTGTAGAGCCTCCACCATTTGACTTGACGAAGAGTTACTTGGATTCAAATTGCACCATTCCTTTAGTTTTTGTGCTGTCTCCTGGAGCAGACCCCATGGCAAGTAAGTACATCTACTGTAACACACACCAACACACACATACACGCACAGGCACATTTTTTCTGTGTATGTTTTGCATGTGTTTATATAAATGCACCATGTGTATATGGCATATATTGTAAGCTTTTAACTTATAACTAAAACATTTTGTTCAATATGCATTTGTTATGTGACTGTAAATTCATCAACAAATCTGGTCTTTAGGCAAAGGTACCCAGAATTTTTCAGGATAAAACACAGGAACTGTGAGCTAGAATAGAGTAAGAAGTGGTATCGTCTGTTTATGCCCTTTGTAGGCCTGCTGAAATTTGCAAATGATAAATCTATGTCTGGAAATAAATTTCAAGCTATTTCACTGGGACAAGGGCAAGGACCAGTTGCGTCAAAAATGATTACATCGGCAATAGAAGAAGGAACTTGGGTTTGTCTACAAAACTGTCATCTTGCTGTCTCCTGGATGCCCACATTGGAAAAAATATGTGAAGATTTTTCGCCTGAAACCTGCAATCCAAGCTTTAGGCTTTGGCTCACAAGCTATCCATCTCCAAAAGTATGTTTAACTTCTATGAGTCCACTACCTTTATTTAGCTGTCTGTTATACTGTGTTTCTTAATTGAGTGTTAAACTCTTAACCTTAGAGATTTTCATAGAGTCTGCTGCTATACTTATTTTTAATGTACTGAGTGTTTACTCAAGATTGTTGTCTTGCATAATACTTTACATTTGTTTTGTCTTAGTTCCCAGTAACAATTCTACAGAATGGAGTAAAAATGACTAACGAACCTCCCACGGGTCTTCGGCTAAATCTCCTTCAATCATACCTCTCTGATCCAATTTCTGATACTCAGTTTTTCAAGGGATGCCCCGGCAAAGAACTGGTAATGTCCAGCCTTCAACACTCTCCAGTTTTGTTCTTATAGTAGTTAAATATGTTAACACTCTCCAGTTTTGTTCTTATAGTAGTTAAATATGTTAGTATAAGGTTTTTATTTAGTATGTTTTCTAAACTGGGTGTATTTCCTAATGGAACAGAAATTGTTTCTACCTGACTCATCATTTTATCCCCAACAGTCTATATTCTGCTTATGACATAGTCAATACTGAAATAAATAATTTTTGAGTGGATGTAGTTTAGTTTATAAATTAAAGGCCAAAGAGTTTTAAATTATATCAACCACGCTTCCCACAAATATGTGTGTTGCCCATTTCCAAAGATCTAAAAGAGAACATCCATGGGGAGGAATGTGCCCTTGCAGAACTTGCACACTGTGCTTTGCACTGTGTAACTAAAACCATTTCACAGTTAGACGTCATGGTTCATATTTGTCATACCAGCACTCAAGAGGCTGATGCAGGAGGATTGCTACAAGCCTGGATTATATAAGCAGTCCTAGGCTAGCCTGTGCTACAGAATGAAACTTTGTCGAGCAAGTGGTACTGGGAATACCACATTAGGATGAGGATAGATTCCACCTCTCACACTGCACAAAACCCCACTCCAAATGAGTCAAAGTGGAAAGGAAACAGTTAACTGAAGAGACAGCCTAGAGAGTTGGAGAAAGATCTTTGCTAACTATACAGCTGACAGGATGAATATGTAGAACAAACAACTCAAAAATCTCAACAAGAAATTAAACAACTCAGCCAATCAATGGGCTAATGAACATTGTCAAAGGATGGAATGCAAACATTCAGTAAACATGAAAACATCCGAAACCTCACTAGTTATCGGAGACACACAAATTAAAACTACAGTAAGACTTCCTCTGACCCAAGTTAGAATGGCAGCCATTTAGAAAACAAACAAGAGGCTAGAAGACAGCTGAGTCACCCTCATGGGGCATCTCACAACATCTGTAATGCCAGCTGGAGGGGGTCTAATGACCTCTTCTGATCTTCATGGGCACTGCACATACCGGGAAGCAGACACATACATTATACATAAAATAAAAGTCTTTTTTTTTAAAAATTTTTTTAAAGAACTAAACATAGATCTACCATACAAGACATGTAAATCTTTCTTCAAAGCCTCCAAGTCAGCACATTACAGAGACACCTGCACACAGATGTTTACTGCTGCACTACTCAAGAGCTAAACTGTGGCGCTTTGGTACATAGACACAGTGGACTTTTTCAACCATAAAGAGGAGTGAGGTTATGTCATTTGCAGGAAACTGAATATACACTATATAAACATACTAAGTGAATTAAGCCAAATCAAATTTTTTCTGTAATCTGTTTTCCTCTGTTTTATATAATAAATCATGTGTATGTATGACATCAAAGTAGAAGCAAAGATATCTAGGGAAATAAAAGGGAATAAAACAAGCTGGGGAGGATCATGAGAAAGGAAATGTGGGGTCTGAAAGAAGCATGCTCAATGTACAACATACTGCACATTGAGTCCTGTTTCTATTCTCTAAGCATCACGTGTGCTCCACGGGCTTGCCTCAGCATGGGTCTTGCCTCAGCACGTGGGTCTGTCTCAGCTGACATCACTCTGCCAATCAGCCCAAGGCCAAGTAAGCAGCAAAACACTGTAGCACACTACCAGAAAGTTGTTGGTATATTTTTTTCTATGGAGTCCCGACACTTGCAGCTCAACTATGCAATGTAAGGTGGACCAATACATGCATGTCATTAGCATTTCACACCTGTGTCCACTTTATTGAAACGTTCCTTTACATGTTTGCCCCAGAAAAACACCATCCAACTGACTTTCCAAAGAACCCTTAAGTTTCCACTTCAAATGCTTGCAATCTACTGTGAGGAATCTAAAGAGATGGGTGACCATGCCCCAGAGCACTGATACAGGAGGCATCCACGGCATCCATGTCAAATACTGGAGGATGTCATGGATAGATCAACTAAAAATGCTTTCACCAATGCTCTCTGAAAGAAAAGGAATAACACGGGGAATTCTATATTGGACTTTATTCATATTCTCTTCATTAGTCATTCTTTTGCATGTATAGTCTGAGGCACATGCCCACAAATCTACAAGATAATACTGAGTGCTGAGATAGAGAGATCTATGAATGACAGGTATCATTAACCGACACATTTATAAAATAGTAATAATCTGTATTTTAGTAACATTTAGTATTATGGTTTGCTTAGTGTTGGGCATTTGAACTAGGCATACGATGAATGCTTTGATAGAAAGTATGTCTTTAGATAAATGCCTTTTTAAAATAGAAGATTGAAATGACATCTGACCATAGACCCTGGTAATGAAAACATCATCTGTTTTTCTGATCATGAGTTTTACTGATGGAAATCTAATCAGGTTTTCCTCTTGTACAATTTTTGCATTAAAGGCATGGGAGAAGTTGCTTTTTGGAGTTTGCTTTTTTCATGCCCTTGTTCAAGAGAGAAAGAAATTTGGTCCTCTGGGTTGGAATATTCCCTATGGATTTAACGAGTCTGACCTACGCATCAGTATCCGGCAGCTGCAGGTAAGATGAAATAGAACCAGCATTTATAAGGATCGCCACCTAACAACCGCTAGGTTACAGCTAGTGGTATTTATGCTGACCTTTATAATAAAGATAAGAGATTACTTTATAGAAATTGTTGATACTTAGCTGGAGACACAGCTCAGTCTTGGAGCGCTTGCCTAATATACTTGAGGGCCCAAGTTTGGTCCCCAGCACTGAAGGGGGAAAATAGCTAAAAATAATGATTAGTATTTTAGCAAATCTTTTAAAAATAATGAATGAGAAGCCTTCCCTGAAATAAGTCCTGCATTGTGAGAATCTATATGGTTGCTGAAATCCATACTTACAAATTGTAATGTATGCTGAATGACTTTGATTTGAACACTGATTTTGAAACTAGTAGTCAATACAGAAAATATGTTACTTAAAATATTTGCCACACAACCTGTAAGCAACCAACTAAGAACTTGACATCTGCCAAGCTCAAGATGGCATTTTCTGAGGTCACCTTCCCAGCACCAGCACCGAAATCCAGACATCAGCTAGATCCATCTTTCACACCTTTAGGAGTGGGAGAGACTTTAAACCATCCTCATCTGCTCGTGCTAGCAGGGTACCGCTCTCCAAGGAGCCAAAGCTCACAGCTAAGTGGGTAATCGACAGGAAGAGTTATCTCCATTTCTTGCATATAGTACAAAGTTAACATTCTATTCTCTCGGGGGCTCCTTCAGTTTTGGGGAGACCCAGACAAACATGCATATGCCCTCCCCTAAAGAGAAGGAATGGATAACGTCTTCATATATCACAAATTTCTTTCTCTCAAAGAATAACCTTTCGTCTCTCTCAGTCTTCTCTCAAATCTCTTGACAATTCTCTTCCCTTGCAAACATGGGAGTATCGAACAAGATTTAATTTGGGGCTGGAGAGATGGCTCAGCGGTTAAGAGCACTGGCTGTTCCTTCAAAAGACCTGGGTTTAATTCCCAGCACCTGCATGGCAGTTAACAGCTGTCTAAAACTCCAGTTCCAGGGGAACCTGACGACCTTCACACACAGGATACAAGCAGACAGAACACTAGTATGCATCAAATAAACCATTAAAATTTTTCCAAAAAAAAAAAACCGACTTATTTTAACTGGGCTCTGGAGAGCTTAAAAAATATTTTCTCAACCATGCACCATATATTCTCTAATTCAGAGACAGGCAAAACTCTCTCAGCCAGTAATACAACATTGCAACACACACATACACATGTGCACATACATGGACACACATACATCAACATATGAGCCAGGAATGGTGGTTCAGTCTTGCCGTCTCAGCACTTGGAAGTCTGAGGCAGGTCTATTGGCATGAGTCTGAGGCCAGCCTGGGCTATACAGGATGATTAAATAGATAGCAATAGATGTATATGTCAGAAGAAATGGGGAATGGAGACAATTCCAAATCAAACACTGAGTACCAGACATTCCCTAGCACCCATGATAATAAGTCTCTCATCCCCCTCTCCGCATAGGCGAGGAAACAAAAGAGACCGACATTTTCAAATTGAAGTGACGTCAAAGGACTTAATTTTTAATTTTCTCACCTTTTTATCTTTACTTCAGTTGTTTATAAATGAATATGACACAATCCCATTTGAAGCTATCTCTTACCTCACTGGGGAGTGTAACTACGGAGGGAGAGTGACAGACGACTGGGACAGGCGCCTCCTGCTGACTATGCTGGCTGACTTTTACAACTCACTCATGATTGAAAACCCCCACTACAAGTTCTCGCCCAGTGGAAACTATTTTGCGCCTCCCAAAGGCACTTACGATGACTACATTGAATTCATTAAGGTAAATTATGTTCTGAAGCTAGGATAAGATAGATGTGTGTGTGTGTGCACGAGTGTGTGTGTGTGTGTGTGTGTGTGTGTGTGTGTGTGGGTGGGTGTGTGTATGAGACAGGGAGAGATGGGGGACACAGAGAAATTTAAGTGAATGATGAGCAGTATCTTCTAATGTACAAGTTTAGGCAAGCAAGACTTTAATGGACTTTCAGACTCGGTTTTGTTCAGCTAATTACTGGACATCAGGAAATCTAAAGCTTGTGATACTTGCTGCTTAGTTGATTCTTAGCCCTTGGTTGTTTGTGTATCTGTCTTATGAGTTAATGCTTCAGTATGAAAAGAAAAAAGAACCTGCTTCCCTCTGCCCTCGTGGCATTATCTGGATGAAAGACAGCTTAATGGGAGAAAAATCATATGATTAATATAAATTTTAATAGTTTATATATACAGGAGCTTTACTACATGATTGAAAACCTAAAGAAGCCCTTTTCTTTGGCATTTATAAAGCAACTGTAGAGAGCTGAATACACAAAGGGGAAGCCCTGGACTCTAAGGGGTGTAAACAGTGAGAAAGGGATTGGGACACTTGGGGGGGGGACTAAGGAAGGATAGTGCTACCTCAGTGAAGTCTGCAGACTCATGCCAGTCAACTTTCTGTCTCTAGTAAGAAGAAAATCTCTCCTCCTCCTGGCACAGCACAAAGGGAAGTTTACACCCTGTTGTTAGGCAGATTAGGGTAGGATGAAAACTCTAAACCCATTTATATTAAACATCCTTTAGCTCAAAGTAAGTGCACTTTGGAATGGCACGTCCCGATCCCACTGAGTATATGATGCGTGCTTCCTGTCTTCTCTTAGAAACTTCCATTTACTCAAGAACCCGAGATATTCGGATTACATGAAAATGTTGATATCTCCAAAGATCTTCAACAAACAAAAATCCTTTTTGAGTCCTTGCTCCTCACCCAGGGTGGCGCCAAACAGTCAGGCTCCTCAGGAAGCACTGACCAGATCCTGTTAGAAATTACTGAAGATATCCTCACACAGGTAATGCCCAGCTTAAAATGCAGCGCTCACACTGTAATGGAAACGTGTTCTGTACCGGGAACACCGCGAAGCAACAGTATAACAATTAGCACGGTGCTTTCCTCCTCAAGCACTTGTTTCTAAATCTGCTTGGTGGTGAGAATAATTTCAGTTGTTATGAGGATTTTTTTTTGAGGACATTAAGGAGAAATTAATTTAAAATAGTTTGTAAAATGCCTACTATATAGGCAAGTGCTTAGTAACTATAGTTATGGATGAACTAGTGTGCATATGGTTTATTTTTATTTCTAAATAAAAAGTAAAAGACTTTTTAAATATGGAATTTCTGAACTTGGTGGTTCAAGGAGCACATGGGTTTTTTTTTTCTCTACCTCAGGGAGTGGAAGGCACAAGGAGGTGATGTCAGTACTCAGCCAGCAGCTATGCAGCCCATGGGACAGCCCAGCAGACTCAGCCTGCTGGGTACTGCAGAGAGCAGCCCAGTAGACTCAGCCTGCTGGGTACTGCAGAGAGGTGCTGTGTTGCCACCTCTATTCTATGTCTAAAGTCAATAAGAAGTGGCTAAGGGAAACTCCAACAGATTATGATCCTCACCAGCGATCTTTATAGTTCCCTTGCAATGTAAATACTGGAAATATTCCCATACATATCTGGCCCCTAGTCCACTTGCCTCCAGAGTTCATGGGCTGTACCACCACAAGATTCCCACAGTAATCCTGGCTATGGTCATCAATGTCGGAAGGGGTGTGACACTACTTGCCACCACAATGGAAGCCAACAGTCTGGGCCTCCAAGCTACAGACTTTGCAATCTGCCTCTCTTCACACCTGCCTCAGTGGTTTTCCTCTGTGGGGAGAGGCTGGTGACTTCACAAATGCTGTCTCCAATAAGAGTCCTATCAAGGACCCAGCAGGAGATTTATGACGTATTTGGGGTAAGAAGAGTGTGCTGAGTCACAATCACTAGGGTGACAGCACTTAGGTTCTTTAGTACCAAGCATGGACTATTACTTTGGGATAGGGAAGGAAACTTGACTCTCAGTTGAACCATTCCCTGATTGGGAGACCCCCTGCCACTTGAGGAGCGTGAACTCCGGAGTCTCAGGAGTGGTCAGCCCTCCACAAGCCTTGTCATCTGTCACCTCAGTGTCTGTGAATACTGCACAGACATCACACGTTTGCTCTCCCTGCACCCTAGAACATTTCTACACTTCCGAGACTGCTTGTTTGATAGAAGGGTAAGTTAACCAGTGATGATTGACTATAAGTGAACACAAAACCACTATAAAATTGTAAATACATTTTATCAGTGGAAAACAAGACTTAGTTTACAAAAAGAAGCTGTACAGCTTCTAAGAAATATAATGTCCTCATCTGTAAAGTGAGATTAATAATGTTTACCTATGTGTTAGCCATTACTGATCTTATAGCTGAATGAAACTTATGGTCTGCTCCGAGAACAACTTGTGATTTCAGCATCCGTTCTTTCAGCTCCCAAATGATTTTGACATTGAAGCAGCACTGAAGAGTTATCCTGTGAGGTACGAAGAGAGCATGAACACTGTGTTAGTGCAGGAAATGGAACGGTTTAACAAGTAAGTAAATCCCCGGGACTTCAGAACACAACCAACCAAAGTTGACAAAATGACATGCTGGTATTGAATTTTAAAAATGCTTTCTGTTGTTGTTTTTTTGTTTTTGTTTGTTTGTTTGTTTGTTTTTCATGACAGGGTCTCTCTGTGTAGTCCTGGCTGTCCTAGAGTTTGCTTTGTAAACCAGGCTGGCCTCCAACTCAGAGAGATTCACCTACCTCTGCCTCCCAAGTGCTGGGACTAAAGATGTGCCACCACTGCCAAGGAGAAACTCTTTTATCATGTAAAACTGATGATGACAAAGAGATCCATTCTTATTGGCTAGAAATAGTCGTTAGTCACATGACTTCTCATCTGTTACTGTCCTCTCTCTTCACAAGTAAAGATGGGGCTGGAGAGTTGGCTGAGCCCCGTTCTGAGTACTTGCTGCTTTTCCAGTGGACCTGAGTTCCATTCCTAGCAGCCTCATCAGACAGCTCACAACTACCTGTAACTCCAGCTCCACGATTCCCAACTCCCTCCTCTGGCCTCCACTGGCAACTGCACCCATACACAGATACCAAACATGCACATAATTAAAAAAAAGAAATCTTTAAAAAAAAAAAAAGACAGAGTGAACCTGGACTGGATGGGTCTATGTGTCCCTTCTGCCAGCTTCTGACACTGGCACGTGCTTCCTTTCTCTTTTTTAAATGCTGTGGCCCAGGTTAGCCCAGGTTAGCCATCAATTAGCCGTTAGACCTTGTTTATTTGTTGGTTGTTTTTGAGGCAGAGCACAGCCCAAGCTGACCTCAAATTTGCTATGTAGCTCACACTGGCCTTGAACTCCTAAACCTTCTGCCTCCACCTCTGAAGGTGCTGAATTGCAGGTGTGCAGTTCTATGCTTGGCTCCCTTTCTTACTGAAGTTGATCAGGTATACCATGCTAAATAAATTATCTGCTCTGACTTCTATTGAATTTTTTGTAATTCAATATTGGATCAAGAAATAGAAAGTTGTTTTTGTTATGAGTTTTCTGTAACATTTTCATGTTTATCTTGCTTTCTGGAGTTGTTGGTATATTAAAGAAAAGTATATTAAAATACCATAGTGCTCTACTTAACTCTGGAGATTTTTAGGAGATGGAGTTTGTTTCCTTGTCTCTTTGTTTGGTAGGGCTAGAGACTGGAGCTTAGGGCTTCATAGATGCTAGCCAGACGCACTCCCACTGAGCTACATCTCCAAGCACAATTTTGTATTTCTTACACAAATGCAATAATTACATATACACAATCTCTCAGCTAGTAGGGCTTCTTTATCCACTAAAGTATATTTATGGTGCTTTCAGCAGTTGAACCTGAGTAGAAATCAGTGTTCGAAAATGTATAAATCAATACATTTTGACCATCAGTACTTTATGCTTTGATATAGGGTTTGAAAATGTATACATCAATATGTACTTTATGCTTTGATACATGGGTTCCATTTTCAGCCATTATATAATACATTCTTGTTTTCTTTTTATGAAACAGGGCATTGTTATATAGCACAGACTGTCCTTGACCTCACTATATAGCCCAAGCTGGCCTCAAACACAAATCCTGTCTAAACCATTCACACGCTGAGACCACAGTGTATACCATCATATTCTGTTTGCATAGCATTTTTTAGCTTTTTCTATATTTACATGTGTTTTAGTTAGAGTTTTACTGCCATGAACAGACACCATGACCAAGGCGACTCTTATAAAAGCAACATTTAATTGGGGGTGGCTTACAGGTTCAGAAGTTCAGTCCATTAGCATCAAAGCAGGAAGATGGCAGCATCCAGGCAGACATGGTGCAGGAGGAGCTGAAAGTTCTACATCTTCATCTGAAGGCTGCTAGTGGAATACTCACTTCAAGGCAGCTAGGAGGAGGGTCTTAAAGCCCACACCCACAGTGACACAGCTACTCCAACAGGGCCACAACTTCTAATAGTGAACTCCCTGGGCCAAGCATTTATAAACCATGACAGTATGTTACCTGTAATGTCATTTACCCAATATTTTTCCTTGGGTAATTCTTTGCTTGCATTCATTGGGTCCTCCCAGATGTCCATAAATGTCCTTTATGAGAGTTCAAATGTGATGTCTCAAAGCTATAGGAAAAAAACCTAGAGTTCATATAACTTATGAAGAATTGACCCAGCCTGCAGGTCAGTCAAAGGGGTCTGCAAGGGAGACAGTGAGGATGGAGGGGCAAGAGACACAAAGAATGGAGACAAGACAGTTGTCTGATCAAGTTTTATTTATTGAAAGGCAATTATAGGTATATAAGCACAAGCAGGGGAGTACAGCTGGAGACACTTAACCACAAGTGCCTTGCAACTGGGGCCACTAAACAACAAGTCCAGGATATGTCTGAGAAAATCAAGATGTTATCAGAGTATGCTTAACTGTTGTGGGCTGCTTGCAAAAATATCATGCTAGAAAAACAAGTCTCTTATCAGGGTGGAAAAGTATCAAATATATGCAAATATATGGCCCAAGATGGCTGCAAAGATGATAGCCACTTTCTGCTAGGAGTTGGCTCCCAACAGGTCACCCTTTTTTAATTTTTTTCAAAAGGGAAGGCTGGGAAAAGTTATGGAAATCATGTATGTCTTAGGTTGGAACAGACCCTAGCCTCCCTTTCCTGTCTCTGGATACTCAACAGCCATTTGGTTGAGCTCCTGTCTTAGGTTGATGAGGCCTCCCAATTAGGGGCAGGAGTCTTGAGGTATTCTCTTACCCATCATTGATTATCTGGTTTAGCATGTAAGTTAGGGGTTAATCCTCGTTAGTCTCGATGACAGAGGTCTTAGAGTCTCCTATTTCCAGCCTGTGATAATGGACCTATATGGGTTTCATTTGAATAGCGTCTATCTGTTGTTGTCAAAAGCCATCAGTTTGTTGAACAGTATGGGCCAGAGAGACAAGAGAATAAGTAGCTCTAATAGGGGTCCCAAGATGGATGGGAGTAAAGTGGTGAGCCATGGTGAGGTACTAAACCAAGCCTTGAACCAACCCTGTTCCTGGTCACATTGGCGTTTGTGGTTTTCTAGGCCTTCTCTGACCTTTATCATAGAATCTTTAACAATGCCTGAATGGATGGTATAAAAGCAGCACTCTTCTTTAAGGGTGGCACACAAGCCCCCTTGTTGGAGGAGTAAAAGGTCTAAGCCTCTTCTATTCTGTACCACTACTTCAGCTAAGGAAGATAATGAATTTTACAAATGTGATATAGCAGATTCCATTCTTTCTAGATCTAAATCTATAGAAGTATGGAGCTGATCATAGCTTTGATCTGGCAAAACAATTGAGGAAATCCCCGTCCCTGCCCCAGTCAATCCCAAACCCAAAAGGACAGCCACAGTAACTGTGGTAATGGGTTCTCTCCTGGGTCTAAGCAATGTACTCCACTAAATCGTAAGTCGGGGAACCAAGAGTCCAGTGGAGCCACCTTGGAGGCACTGGTGATGATGTCTCCTTCAGCACTGAAGACTTTCCAAGTCATGTTATATGGCATATCCTGGTTGATCTGTTCCAGTTTGAAGGCAATTGTGAAGGATCTTCATGTTTCCTGCAGAGAAAAAATAGGGTCCTCAGGGGCTTCTCCTCCCTGGATTTGTTATTATTGTCTATCTGTTTAATCAGTCTCTCTGGCAGTCAGTGTGTGGCATCTGCTGTTTGGGAATATATGCAGACAGAACCTCTTCCCCAGATAAGCACTCAGTCTGGCCTGTTCCAGGTTCCAGTTAATGGGTCTTTCCAGAGGACTGTTGCAAATACTTTTTGGTATTAGGATGCCAAAATCTATCTGCAGCAGATTTTCCTTTGGAATCCAAAGTTTAAAAATTTAAAATAAAGAGTGTGTGTTGAAGGATATTTTTGGGGAATCCCTTGGTAGGGTACCATTCCCCCTTTTTAATTTTTTCAAATTGATGTTTAATGGTTTGATGTGCTCTTTCTACCATACCTTGGCCCTATAGATTATATGGAATACCCATTTTATGTAGTATTCTCAATTTTTAACAGAATTGGTGGAAATTGGAGCTTGTATAACCTGGGCCATTGTCAGTCTTTGTTTAGGCACACCCAATACAGCGATTGTAGCAAGCATATGAGTGATCACATGTTTGCTTGCTTCTCCAGTTTGTAATGTCGCATAAATGAAACCATTGTATGTATCTACACATACATGTATATTTTTTGATTTCCAAATTCATTATAATGAGTAATATCCATTTGCCAGAGACTATTTGGTATCAGTCCCTTTGGATTTACACTCAAATGAGGAACCGGTAAAAGTTTTAACACATGATTGACATTGTTTGACAATTTGTCTAGCTTGTTCTCTGATAATTTTAAACATGATTTTTAAAGTTTGAGAATTAAAGTGATGTAACTCATGAGCCTTTATGGCCTGATCCAAGTTAGATGGCAGATCTGATAAAGTCACTGCGGCTACATGAGTGACTAGATCTGCCGTGGTGTTTCCCTCAAAAGAGGGGACCTGGTAGACCAGTGTGGGCACTCAGGTATCCTATAAAGAATTTACACTTCTCCTCAAAATTAATTGTTGACACTGTGAAAACAAATCGGCTGCTTCTCAGGAACACTTTATTTGTGCAGCAGTTTCTAGCAGAGGGATAGACTGAGCTAAATATGAGCTATCTGTGTAAATATTAATGGCTTGATTCAGAAATGCTTGGAACACAGCAATAACAGCATGCAATTCAACCAACTGAGCTGACACAGATGATGTAGCAACGGAGACTACTTGATCTTTAAAGGCATAAGGGCTATTCCTGATGAAAAACCATCAGTGAAAACTAGCAATGCTTCTTTTATTGGTGCATGCTCAGTACAAGATGGAGAAACAAATGCATGGTGGTTACAAAACTGAACCAATTTGTCTGGTGGATAATGATTATCATCTAGCTAGCCAGCAAATGTGACACATGCAATAGGCCAAACTTCAAAGCTCTGCATAAGCCAATCA